GTGCAAAAAAAATCTATTTTCTATTTGAATTTCAATGTTAAAGTTTTTGCTGAAAATCAATGTTTGGAATTTTAAAAAAAAAGTCGTGAAATGTGGAGCAGAGGGATAATGTCCCTTAAATAAAGTCCACAACAATAAAAACTTTCGTATGCATTTTGTTAGGATTTGTTCATCGACATTCAACGTGTTGTTTTTACATGTTTATGTCACGTTTGTCCCAGAAATCCTGCGAGATGTGTACATTCTCCGACTTATTCACAAAAGAGTACACTAAGAATTATATTAACTCTTCAATAGTGGAAATAGAAAGTGGAGGATTATTTAATTTACAGTGTGAAAAAAAATATTGTAGGTGAATCCCCCCTATTTGCGCCTTCTCGGGAAACTCAACCCCCTATAGATGGTTGGTTGGTTGGTTGTATGTTGTTTAACGTCCCTCTCGGGAATATTTCACTCATATGGAGACGCCACCACTTGCCGGTGGAGGGCTACAAATTTTGTCCTATGCTCGCCACTCAGGGCCTTTGAGCAGTGAGGGATCTTTTTCGTGCCAGCACCTTCTGCGACACGGGGCCTCAGTTTATACGATCTCATCCGAAGGACCGGTCTCCACGTCCCACAGTGGGATTCGAACCCGCGACGTAAGGATTGACTCCTTTCTTCGCGACTCTAGAGCCGACGCTCTAACCACTGCGCCACGCGGGCGACAACAACCCCATATAGATTGTAATGTCCAAAAATTTTGGAGATTAAAGAAATTATGGCAAATTATCAGATGAACACGTCAGCCCCTTTTATCGCCCCCAAAATAGTATGGTGTCTACCGCACTTTATTTAAAAATAGAGTGGACAGTTTTGGATACCCTCTTCTTCAGGGAAAAATCCCTTGTTCTGCGCACGGCAACCGCGCAATGGGTAGATTTTGTCCAGTTTTTTTAGTTAAAAAAAAAGAGATCCCCACTCCTTGAATTTGCAGTTATTGAATGTATAGACTAAATCAAGTAAAAGTGACCCCCTTTTTAAAGAACACCGATGTGTTAAGTTGGAATGGATTTATAGCTATGAAGCTCTGGAAGTCAACGATACTTGGTTTAATATATTCATTTTAAAACTCTACAAATTCCATGGAGTTCCTGACCCAAGAAGTCGACGACTATATACCCTATCTGACTCAAGAAGTCAACGACTATATATTATATATACCCTATCTACTCTGAACCGAATGCTTTGCTCGTATATTTAAAGTTAGAAAATATCAATATGTGTTGGTTATTTCAAAAAAATTAAATGAGATTGTGGTGGAAAAAATCTCCTCAAGAAAAAAGGCCTTGATCATTGATCATTGGCGGATGCAGAAAGGGGGTCCGGTGGTTGGACCCCCTTTATATTTGTACACACACAGAGAGAGATACAGAGAGAGACATTTTTTCTGTAATATGGATATTTACATGAATATGTCTAATAATTTGAAAATATGAAAAATCTCTGTCCTTTCTGCTCGCTAGATCTGTAAATTTTCGCGCATTTGCTTTAAATTCCGTCGTGTACCTTCACAACCCCGGCTAAGGGCTCCGAAACACTCTGTACCATCGGCTCATATACATTCACGTGTCAGCATGAGAGAGGAACAAACGACAAATCTGCATGGGAGATTTGCTCCAAACATCCACAAGTAACATGCAAGGAAGATTCCAGAATATATACCAGTTTTGGACCATCTTCAGAAGTACCCGTAAATAACGTTTAGAAGTATGCATAAAATAAAAACTTTTGAAATGTTCCCGTAGTATGCCGATGGAGGGGACTCCTTTTTTCTAAGAATAATATCTTGCTGTGGTTTTACTAAATATTTTTAATCAATGAAGAAAAACGCTTAAAAATTAAATGTTCCCGAAGTATGCAGATGGAGGGGGCTCCCTTTTTCTGAGAATAATCTCTTGTTATGGTTTTACTTAATATTTGATTTGGAAGTTCCCTCCACATTTTTTGTTGTCGAAAAATACGCAGATTCAAACATTTGAAAGTAATGTACCGGAATACCCCGCCACAGAGATTTAAAAGTGTGCTTTATAGTCTTTTTTTTAAGGTTGTCAAATGTTCTTGGAGGTCCCCCTTCTTATAAATGTAGCTTGAATTGGCCCTGATGTAATTCTATGCATGAGTGCAGGGGGCACCGACCCCCCCCCCTTTCAAAAATTGCTGGATCCGCACCATGCATTTTGATTATTCATATATAGGCCATCACCTGAGATTAACTTTCTTCACTGTTAAAATAAATTAAAAACACGGACATTCTTTAAAGAGAGAATAAAAAAAGAAGAATGCAATACACACTGTATTAAAATGAAGTATAAGACCAGACCTATATACAAAACGTAAATGACAACAAAAATGCAGAGGTATAGAGTTTAAAAGTATACCATTTAGAGTAAATCCTTTTTAGTCTCTCTTCCAATATTTTTTAATAGAAGTCACTGTTGAAAGAAGCATAGTACGATGTGTAACAATTTTGTTAAACATCTATACCTTTCCCCTCTAAATTCAAGATACACTGTAAAGACCGTGAATTAATTGTTCTTCATATTCGCGGCAGAACTGTAGCTCTCTGCTCGAGAAAATTCGCACAGTTAAAACGGAGAGGCACAGTTCTGGAGCTAGCCTCATATAAATAAGAAGGTGAAAATGGTACAGGATCATTTATGATTATTTTTTAAATGTTACAATTTTTAGCGCTTTTTAAAAACGGAACTGTTAAATTAGTATGTTTCATCTGATCGTAAACAACCATCAAAAAGACAAACTAAAACTCAACTAAAACTAAATGTAAAATAAAAACTGAAATGCTGAATAAACAAACGATTGGGAGTCAACATGGTAAACACTTAGATTGACAGAAATACATGCAATGTACCGGTAAGCTGCAAAAGAAAAGACCTGTACGTTCTTTCATTGTGCATAAAATTAATTACACTACGTGTTTCGAGGTAATCTCATCATAAGTCTATGTATATCTATTAATTAACATTTTATAAAATTGGATTACACTGTCCAAAGTATGTTACAAATGAAACCTCAACATTCCTTGGGGGTTAGCTATTTCGGACTATTGTAGCCTAAAGGTGCATGGGCCGGGGTAGAGGATAAGATATTGGTACCCAAAGCGTCATAGACGACCGAACTCACAGACAGACGGACCCCCAATTACTTATATATGCCCTTCCATTTTTAAAAATTATCATACTGTTGTTTTGCATGCCTGTGTAATAGGTCAGCACATATACATGCTCACGCCTTTACCTTTTGTAGAGCTCTACATATTCTATGACGTAACAATACAATGATACGTCATTTTTTCTTCCTAAACCCAAGATTTGCACCCTAAAATGCGTCTCTTAACTGACAGTGAAATGACATAAGCGGACCTAAAATCTTCAATCTTTTTCGTTTCATTTAAGCACTGAAACATTGTAGTATCGTAAACATTCTGTTATATGTGTCCACTATCATCAAGGGGTGTCTCCCTACACTTCCAGATTTTTATTCCTCTATCAAAATATTTTTTTAGAATAATTATTACATCTGAACATAAACTATACCTTCACCAGGAAAAACACTAAATTCAACATTGAAACGAACAAACAGTTTTGTGAACAATTAGAGAGACAGAGTTATATACCTGTGATGTACAACGTAAAGCTGCAAAAGAAAGGTACATTAATATTGTGGATTAATACTAATTCATACGTGTTTTGAAGTAATCTCGTCACAAGTCTTTATGTATATCTATTAATTAACATTTAATAAAATATTGGATAACACTGTCCAAAGTATGTTACAAATGAAACCCCAATATTCCTTTTACACAATGCAGGGGCGGTCGGATCAAACTCGTCTTTTTCCGTATCGGAGATCAAGACCCGAAGAGGATTTCGGAAATAGCCGAGTAGCTACGATTGAATACGAATGAATCTGACGTCACAGCGGAAGTGACGCCGAGCTGTGTCTGCACTGGCTGTGTTGAGATCGAAGGAGGCTGCATATCTTCGTGTTTCTCCGCGTTTTAAAGCATGTTTTCCTATTGCTAACATATCTTTATCTACTGCAGCATTTTCTTGGCAATGTTAACGCGAAGGATGGGATTTTTCGAATGCAAACTGCAAGGTTAGTGAAAATATTGGAGAGAACGAAATAACCCGATCTTCCTCGGCGTTTGAGTGTGAAATACGTTACGAGTTACGAAATTTACGCAAGCTGGTGAGGATTCTGGAATCTTTTGAGAGTATTTACTGAACATTATTCAGGACTGGATGTTAATTTGAACGTTTTTAATCAAAATCTACGATTAGAAAGTAGCCAGGCATGCGCAGTAGGGGGGGTTAGTTGTGCCTGGCATGACTAACCCCATTTACGCGTGCGCTAACTAACCCTGCTGAGACTGACAAAAAACTGACTAAGCCTTGACTTTAGGCAAAGTCCAAAAAATAAAATGCATGCAAAAGAAAAAAAAGAACACCAGCACAAACAACATTCCAGAAACAAATAAAATGATTTAAAACAAAATAATTATAAAATAAATAGAAAAAAAAACTTAAATTCTAAAACTATTAACTAAACTAAATTTTAATAGAAATGTTCATGTTAGTTGACTAAGTTAGTCAAATACTAAGACAATTTGCAATGGAAATTCTTGTTAGTTGACTAAGTTAGTCAAACTAAGACAATTTGCAATGGAAATTCTTGTTAGTTGTCTAAGTTAGTCAAATAATAACACAAAATGCAATGGAAATTCTTGTTAGTTGTCTAAGTTAGTCTAACTAAGGGATTTTTTCTTGAAAACCCCAAATTCCAATAATCAAAATAATTCCAATTTTAAATAATAGGGTTATAAAAAGCTTGAAATAAACAAAGCTAGAGAATCTATGGTAATGCCACTAATGGTAAGAATAACTACCGTAAGCTATGTCTATACATAATCTGGTGATAACGAGCTTGTGACTTACATCTGAGCCAAGGTCAGTGAATGTGGCATGCTGAATAAACAACGTAAATTTTCATAAAAATATTACCAATATATGTTATACAGTTAAATGACTTCTGTGATTATGAATAGGAAATATGCTCCTAAAATTTATCTTTGCCATGACAAAATATTCATTTATGATATATCATGCATCATAATTGACATAACAGCAAAAACAACTAAAAATGTCTTTGAACTATGCAAAAAATACCATGTGCTATATGGGTAGAAATACAAGTTTTTTTCTTTTCATGCCTTCTTACATGCATATCTGTTTTTATTTAAAATACACAGTTGTTTCCCTTACATCTTTCTTTTTTTATTTATTTTATTTCAATTAATGTCACAAAAATAAGATGTTTTAATAAGAATAATGAAAAAAAAATCTAAGTAGATTTTCAATTAATTTTTTAAATAGAATGGCAAAGGCATGTAAAAATGTTCTGAAATACAAGTACATTGTTATATTTATTGTGTACTAAAATGACAAACAGAAAACAACGATGCGTAACTTACCCCTAGTTTATCCTCCAGATGAGAATTTGTTGTCTTTAGATTTGAACACAAAGCCTCTAAACTGTTACGGACCTTTAAAAAGAAATTTTGCATGCATTGTTATACATGTATATTGCAAGACTAACACAGTTAATCCCCCTTTTTCTTTTAATATGTTTTACGGTGTGACCGTTGGGGCGAGCGCAGTTGCACCATCAAAAACACTCTAAAAATTGATCAGCCACTTCAAATATCAAGCCGCACGAGATATCTCGACTAACTGTGACGTCACACGACGTCACGGAGCTCGTCGGAGCTTACGGAGACAGCCGAGCGTCTGTTTGAAACTATAGACCTAGTGCAATTTTGGTTGAAAAACATTGTAGAGTTATTTTTTGTTTCTTTGAAAGATTTCTACAAACTGGACTAGCCTTTTATGTTTTACGTTATTATTTTATTTATTTATTTATTTATTTGCACAAAGGACATTGGGTAGTGCGGGAATTCTGGGAATGTTGCACAGAGAAATTTGGCTGACGTATGTACAGATTTCAATCCGAATTTCCTCTGTTCTTACACGTTAGTCTATTGAGCTCGCTGCGCTCGCTAATAAATGATGCAGAGGACCTTTTCTACACTGCATAATAATTCCCCCCTCCCCCCCCCCCAATTTTATTTTATTTACTTTAATGTACTTTCTGTGAGTCATTGAGACATTTCCACCCTCTGTCCCTTGTGCCCCCCCCCCCCCCCCCAACGTTATATTTGATGTACCTTCTGTGAGTCATTGAGATCTTCTATAACATTTCCACCCTCTGTCCCTTGTGCCCCCCCCCCCTTGGTTTTATTATATTTGATGTACCTTCTGTGAGTCGTTGAGATCCTTCTGTAACATTTCCACCCTCTGTCTTTCATGTTTAACCTCAGCCTCCAGTTTCGCATTTTCCAACTTAAGATTCTGGTAACTCTCCTCCAGCTCCGACTAAAGATAAAATCACAAACTTTTAAATCTGAGTGGTAAGAATGCACCAAATACAGTGTGAAGAATATTAAAAAATAGTTCATTATTTTTCCTTCAGTTTCTCTTCATGAAAACAAAATCACAAACTTCATTATAACTTCAGTTGGTTTCCAAGAATAGACTGGATAAAAACATTTTTAATCCCTTCCGATCAATATCAAATAGCACACCTCCTTGATGAAAGCACAGCCACAAAAGAGAACCAGTTCTGTGACTATCATTTAAAGCACTAAACAGCTAAAATTTCACACAATTCTTACAACCAGCGACAGTGACTGCCCTGCTCCCTCACCTATTGACAGTAACTGCCCCCTCACCTATTGACAGTACCTGCCTGGCCCCTTCACCTATTGACAGTACCTGCCCTCTCACCTTTGACCTATAGACATTACCTGCCCCGCCACCTCACCTTTGACTTACTGACTGCCCCGCCCACGTTACCTTAGACTTATTGACGGCCTCCATGTTGGCCGAGCTGTTGAGGAGTTTCTGACTGTTGGTTTCCTCTCTCTCCTGGATCCTCCTCAGTTGATCCTCCACCGTGTTGTATTTACTCTGGGCCTCGATACACTTCTCCCGTTCATGGTTCGACTTCTCTCTGTATTTCTCTATCTCCATGTGTAACCTCATCTTCTCTTCCTCCATACCTCTCTTAGTCTTATATACAAAAGAAAAAAGTTCTTACAAATCTGTTTTATCATCAATTTAGAAAAATGTTCTTGTGATCTACTGCAGAAAGTGAAACATTACTGATCAGATTGAAAGTTATATACAAAGAATGTGGTTTTAGTAAATATGATATTACCTATAACTTCACATTAAATACATTCTGTATTTTCGAATTCAGATAAACAGTTTGTACAGGAGGTTGTTGTTAAGTTTGTTACCTGATCCAGATTCTGATAATTGGCCTCCACCACGGACAGTTTGCGGATCTGGTCCGCTATCTCATTGTTCAGTCGACCGTTCTCCTGTTCCAGCTGATTCCGGCGAGCTTCAATGTTACGATTCTCTTCCTTCAGTCGAGAACACTGGTCAGACAAAATAAGATTCCTCTCCTCCCAGTGCAGCTTGGTCTGAAATGTAAGATTCTCAGTAAGTATTTAATCCAGTGAAGAGTTATTTCCCTTTATAAGCAATGAGCATGACAAAATTTACAAAATACATGTACTTCAATAATTAAAAATAGTTGGGAAAGTTGAAAATTCACTTCTGTGAAAAATGATATGTATTTTAATAAACTAAGTCAGAGAATCAGAGGTCCTAAAAAAAATTTTGTAACAAGTTATTGACTTTGTGTGTGGTCTGACCTTTTCAGCGTCGGCCTGCATGCTGGCTATGATCTTGGTGTATTCCAGACTCTTATCCCCGCCCTGCTCCGCAATGCTCCGCTGGAGGTTCTCAACCTGTTGTTTGAGGGACAGGTTCTCATGCTGCATGGTGGTGTGTCTAAAGGTGGCAATAAAGAAATTATTTAAAAATGCATTAAATTACTTTTATTGGAAACAATATTCAAACATATTAATAGTATAACATCTCTGACTGAGCCATACAGTATACACAATTTATTATTAAAGAACACCTACTTTTCCTGGAGCTGCTCTAGTTTAGCCTGTATCTTGTTATGAAGCTCCTGTAAAAAAAGACACACAAGTTTAAATTCAACTCCAAATTTTCATTCACTGTTTATGTCACCTAAACATGTACAAGTACTAGCTGGGTAACATTTCATGATGATAACTACCATTTCTGTGTGACATTTCTCCTCGGATGCCGTGTGAGCACTCTGTATGAAGTCCAGGTCCTTCTGTGCTTTGTTTAACATGTTGTTCTTCTCTAACAGGGTGGCCTCTGTTTTGTGTAACTTTAAAACAAAATATGGAGAATTAAGCATAGTAATAATATCACTTGTCTAGTCTCCTAAATTTGCAGATAAAACAAACCAAAAATCAACAGTAGATTTATGCAAAACACTTATCTGATTGCATGGGAAAAACAGACATTTACACAAATAATTCTAGATTTCAATTAACAATACAGTTGAAAGGGATTTATTTTTAATTACTATTAGATTTTCGTTTGTTCTGTCAAGGTTTAGCCAAGGAACACTATGTGCATTTTTTTTTCTGAATGGAAATTTCCAAATAATAATAAAACTTCTGCCAAAAACAGGTTGTGTTCTCTTACATGTGTCTGGTGACAATGGACATATTTCATTTTGACCCTATGACCTCAAACTATCCACAAGAGCACTGACTTGACCTTACTTCATTCTCTGTGAGGTTGAGTTTGTTCTCCAGGTTGGTGATTCGGTGCAGTAGTCCCTGTATATTGTCCTTCAGACTGGCCACTTCTTTCTCCCTGGTGTCCAGCTGCCTTGACCACTCCTCCTTCTCATGCTGCAATCTCCTGTAAAAGGATGTGTGCATAAAAAGGTTATTTTAAGACATTTTAAAGAAAATACAACTTTATGTTTGTTTATAAAGTTTTGTAGGAGAAAATAAGTTACTGAAAATTAAAAATATTAATTTTAAAATAATCCTGTTATGAGTAGAAAAGTTGAGGGTATTTTCATTCCAGCATTCCTTTATTTGGCCCCCTTTTGTACCTCTCTGCCTCATTCCTGGCCTGCTCTGCTTTATCCAGTTCCAGTGAGATAGTGTGATTTCTCGTCTTCAAAGATGCCAGCTATAATATAAATTAATTAAGGAATGACTCTAATTCTTGGCCAAACTATCGAGTATAACCTGGTTTGGGTCAGATAACGCTTTTTGATAATGAATCCCGAGGACTGGAAATGAGGAGATTAGTGGATACAGATGATTCAGCTGGTTGTCAAGGGTGTGTGTGTCCCCATATCAAACCAGATTATAGAGAATAATTTGCGTTCCTTTTTGTAAATCAACCAGTGAGAGGCTAGAATACAAACAAAATTAAATTTATTAACAGTATACACAGACCTCGGAGTCCAGTTTATCTTTGTTGGCCCTCTCCTTCTCCAGTACGGAGTTGATGACGGAGATCTCGGTTCGGAGGTTACTGGTCTGTAGATTGTACTGGATAGTGGCGTGGGACAGTGCCTCCTCATTCAGTTTGATCTCATTCTTCAGTTCCTCTATCTTACTCTGCAGCTCCTCCGTCTCTGTAGATAACATGGTCACCTCATCTCGATGGCGAAGTCTCTGCTTCTCAATTTCCAGCTACAGAGTGGGGAGAAAGATGAATATGATACATGAGAGAGTGTTTGGGCTGATATCCAAGGCTGCCACAAAGGTATGCACAAATTGAATTTGCATTTTGATATTCAATATACATATTTAAAATTCAATAATACAGTGGACCTTCAGATATCCGGACCCCAGATATCCGGATGCTTCAGTATCCGGACGCTTTTTCATTAGGACAAATTTTTTAAATGTTATATTGTTTTGTTTAACTGGTGATTCGGGTATCCGGACGCTTCACATATCCGGACAAATTGACTAGGAACCAAAGCGTCCGGATAAATGAGGCTCCACTGTACTGTAGATCACTTAATTTTCGTGACACCTTATTTTCGCAAGATAGTCATTGACTCCTGATTAGCTAGACAAAATTTTCGAGAATAGTGGTAATTGCTCTATATAATCTTAAGGAATACTATTATACGTGAGAATTAAATTTTCGCAAGCACACTGTCTCGCGTAATTACGCGAAAATAAAGTTCTCGCGAATAAAAAGTGATTTACAGTAGTGCAGGTGGAGTAAAAAAAATGGCGTTCTCGCCACTTTCAATCCCTACTTTGGTATTACCTTAAATGCATTGTTCTCAGCCCGTAACTTCCTCAGTAACTCATTAGCGGACTTCCTGTCCTCATCCACTGCCTCCAGTTTGTTTTCTGCCTCGGACTGCAATCAAGTAAACATATTTACTGTTCATTTAGTTGTATGTATAGATACACTGTATTTACATGGGGGGAAATGCAATAAATTTAAAATAATCATCATTTACATGCAAAAGCAACAGTGGGTACCTTAAGGCTTTCATAACAATTGTTTGAAGATTTTATTTTTCTGATAAAGGCATAAAATTAATGCTACTTCATTGTATTTTGCTACCACCACCATGACTACAAAAAGATTTTACTCTACAACAATTAGATTTTATGTTGTGGAATTTAAAGTTTTATTTAGAAATGCACAATACATGTATTTACTGAAGCAAGCAGATTAAGGGTTAAATGCAATCAATACCCCCTTCCCCCATTTTCATCAAGAGAAGTTAACTTCATTTGAAGTGACAGAAAGAAAAAAAATAGTAAGAACAGCTGAAAGAGGGAAGTATTAACATCCAACACCAAAAGAAGCAGACATGAAATGATAATCAGATTCAGCTGAAATGTCAAATGAATGTAAAATCTTACATCTTCATCCTCATCATCAAAGGGCAGAATGTCCTGAAAGGAAGGTACGGTCAGGTGATAGGTCAAGGTGAGTACAAAACAAACAGTGAATGTTAATGATTTACTGTGTATCAAATGCTCAAGAAAAAAATTGTTACATTTAAAGATACTTTGTGTATATAGTGAAATCAGTTATTTTCACGTGAGTTTTACTTTTAGTTTTCATGATACGAAGAGACCTACAAATCATGTCCTCTTAAAAATGCCTAAATGAATGATTAGATCCCCAAGAACCAATAATTTTCTTCAAACTGCGAAAATTTGCATTCACGAATTAATGATTTTCCAGTTATCAAGCATGATGTTCAGGCTGATATATCTTATTGAACTTAACAATGATAAGATAAAATGATTGGTGAAAAATGCTGAATGAAGTAAAAACCAAGTAAAGCACCACCTTAACAGTCTCTAAAAACTATTAAATAAACTACTTTGTTTATATTCTAAAATTTTATGAATCATTATTAAATGTTCTAACAAATGATAATAAAAGTTTTAATTTTGCTAAAATCATGCTCATAAATAAATCTGTAATAGTGGAACCTGATACCTATCTAATGTTAATGATCACACAACTTATCACTAGTGTGGGAATACTTTTGACGAGACCTGACTCACCTTCTCTGCCTCGGACTTGATTTGTTCCGAGTGAAGGGCCTGCTGGATCTTTTGCTGGTCCTCGTTAAACTGTTCCTGGAGTTGTCGCGCGTTCCTCTCATTCTGCAGCTGTCTCTGAAGATCCGACTTCTCATCCTCCAACTAAACAGAACAAATAACAAATTAATTGTGAATGGGTACTTTTTTAAAGAATAAATCTACATAATAACCTATATTTGCATTAAAATAGCACATTACCAGTTTTACGAGATCTCAAAGGAGATAGCAATATTTATTTCCATCTTTATGACCTGATCACCAAACCACTGGTTACCTGTTTGATGTTATTTTTGGTCGTCCGGAGATCCAGCTGGAGGTTCCTCATCTGGAGTTCTGTCTTCTGTTTCTCCTCCAGTTCACTAGAATGGGAATAAGACTTACAGGTCAGTTTATTGGTATTCAATAAAAAAAAATTGCAAAGCTTCTATTTTACGCCTATGTTCTTTGTTTTCATTAGAAAACTTTACTACCGTATAAGTGGAAATTTTAGTGAGATGCAAATTTAGCGATTTGTCCTCAAAAACTGGTAATCTATTTTTAGCGAGATGTTATTTTAGCAATTTTAAAATGCATGCTAAAGAAGTTATAACAAATATAATGCAATTAATTTTTAGCGATATTCAATTTTAGTGATCTCGGCAACCTCGCTAATAATGCCAAAATTAAATCCTCGCTAAAAATTCTACTTGTACGGTATATTACAGCTAAACACATCGATGTGTGAGGAAATAATCCCTCAAACTTAGTCCTCATGTCTCCTTCATACTTTGCAATTAATTGAGGAGAAATAAGTGTTCTATGTACTTAGTAAACTGTTCCTCTTTGCGGGCTAGCTGTTCCTTGGTTTTACTGAGTTATGTGTTTTACTTACTTGGTAAACTGTTCCTCTTTGCAAGCCAGCTGTTCCTTGGTTGTGAGGGTGGTACTTACTTGGTAAACTGTTCCTCTTTACGAGCCAGCTGTTCCTTCGTTTTACCGAGCAGTGTCTCGGCGTTTTTCCTCATCTCCGCCTCCTCGCTGAGATTGTACTCCAGATTGCGGATCTTTTGCTCCATATCAAGCTTTGTCTGCTCCAGGGATGACCTCATCTGGCTCAAATTGTCTATCTTCCTATTCAAAAATAACAATTTACTCGTACAGAAATAACATACTTTGTAGGCAGTTGTTGTTTTCATTTTTTATAGTTAGAATTAGGAAAGAAAATTTCTCTCTGGTATTTAATTTCTTGCAAAATGTAATTTTTGTCTTAAAAATTTAAGGTACTGTATTGTAAATGTACTTGTGAAAGCTTAAAGGGAATTTCTCTACTGGTCATGCAGGACACAAATTTTGTGAAAATTGTAATGGTCCACACAATTCTACTGTCTGAAAATTTTCTTCAGTTACTATGTTTCTGTCTTAGATTCAATATAACTGTTCATTGCACTTTTTTTTCTGGGGAACATTCTAAGGTATCCCCTGTAGCTAACTTGACTTAAAAATGTGACCTTGACTTACCAGAGATCTTTTTCTCTTTAATAAATAATCTTATCTTGTTGTCCTTGATTTTTTTTTTTTAGATCACAGTGTGACTTTGACTTATTCATTCCTCTATTTCTTAAGTGACCTAATCTTGTTGTCTACGACTTACCTAAGGTCACAGTGTCCTTGACTTACCTGAGGCTTGTTCAACACAGCGAGTGCTTGCGAACATTTCTGTTGGAGGTACAAGGAATTTTGGTGAGCACTCATGGACGTTCGCTCTGTTGAACAGGCCTCTGAAGTCACAGTGTGACCTTATCTAACTTCTAAAGTTCATTCCTCTCCTTGTTAAGTACCTTTATTTTTACGTCCTTGACTTATTTGAGGTCACAGTGTGACCTTGACTATAATTATCTATTCCTCTCCTTGTTGAGTAACATTATTTTTGCGCCCTTGACTTATTTGAGGTTACAATGTGACCTTAACTATTATTCATTCCTCTCCTTGTTGAGTGACCTATTTTTGTTGTCCTTGACTTATTTGAGGTCAAAGTGTGACTTACTTGAGAAGTTCATTCCTCTCCTTGTTGAGTGACCTAATCTTGTTGTCCTTGACTTATTTGAGGTCACAGTGTGACTTACTTGAGAAGTTCATTCCTCTCCTTGTTGAGTGACCTAATCTTGTTGTCCAGGGTCATCCTTGTGTTTTTCTCCTGATCCAGTCTCTTGTTCTGTTCATGCATGTGTTCCTGGAGCTTCAGCACGGTGGCAGGATCTACATTATTAATGTAAATAATGAATATGTTTGCCTACAGTTAATGGGACAATGATCATAATAAAACATTTAATACTGCTAATGCTAGCATCATGTTGCATCTATATTTGACCAAAAAAATGTAACTTTATGATTTCTTAAAATTTTTAATATAGATGTTGAAAAAATAAAACCCCCCAAAAAACCCAGACTTGTTTAACAGAGAACTTTACTCTGAGCTCAAAACATGCAATGTTCATGTAGGTATCTTTGGGACACACAGTTTAGCCATTATGATATATGACTTGACTTGTAACACAAACCTGAGAGGTTCATATTAGCCAGGACGTCTTTTCCGTAGGGCGTGTTGGTTTGGTAGATCATGCTGTCCCCATTCTCTGTAGAGGTGTAGGAGAAAGCATCATCATCAGGCAGATCTATCCCCCTGTATGGTCCGTAGTTACCCCCGGGCAGGCCTCGCAGATATGTCCCCATGTTGTCTGCGGGTCTGAAACACAAACAATAATTTTTTTTTTGAAAATTGTTTTCATTATTTATCCATTAGTTGTTTGGACATGTTTCTGAAAGATATAATGTCTTATTTACTGAGGAAGATCAACTGACAATCAATAGGGAATGCATTAACATTTCTATTATTATATATTTTTTTAATTTGAATAATATATCTAAATTATATTAGTCTATTATTCCTATATAGAAATATAAACTAGTTATTTACAGTGACATAGAACTAACATTCAAGCTAACATACCTCTACTTCACCTGCCATAATTCCTACATTTGTTTACATTGTATCCATAGTTTATAAATACGGGAAAATGTTTGTGCATGTGTTCTTAAAGTTTTGGACAAATGATGACATCATAATTGACTATGACATCATAAAATTCAAAAGGAAAATATGTGTGCAGGTGTTCCATAATGTAAAGTTAATTATGACATCATAATATAATTGATGACATCATAAATGATTTAGGATCTTATACAAAATTCTGCTAAAATAAAGAAATTTTCAGAATATTTTCAGTAATTTAGTTTTCTTTGCACACTTCATAGCAAACTATATTTTTCCAAAGTTTTACACAGAGAGTGGATTGTAATTTAATTTTTTGGATGCGATTTTAAATTAATAACAACCTGTCAAAATCAAAATCTACGGAGTCCTCATCATCAACACTCATGCCGTCACTGTGCATGTTGGGAGGAGAGGTGCCAGTCGTGATGTGAGGGGCGTGTCTTTTATGATTGACAGCGGGGGAGGAGTTGAAGGAATTGACTCCTAGGCTATGGTTATGGGAGAAGGCGGGGCCATCGGACCGATTCTTCTGTCCACCATGAATGTCAGTATCTCTGTGTGAAAAAAAAATAAATACATGCAGGATTCAAATAAAAAGAATGTGGAAAATAAAAGGAATCTTTCTTTTTTATACATAAAATGGAAAAGAAAATTCAAAAACTTCAATAAAAACATATAAAATGGACAGATTCGACAGCTTTATTAAATTAACGAAATGATTATAACATGCTTTTAAGCTTCCTCTATTTATTTAACATACACAGACAGTCAAGATGTTTAATAAATAAATTCTTTATCAGAAAAATTGATTCCTGAAATGAATGTTTGATCAAGAAAATCAGGTATTTTGGCACCTCAAGTAAACTGACGGGCACAGGGAGTCGGGAGAGATTTAAATATTTTTAATATCAAAAGTTAACTTAAATCCTCTAAGATTAACTAAAGCTTCTAAATTAAATGCTTCCTAAAGAGTTATTAGTTTTTAAAACTCTACCTCTGTAAAGTTCATTTTCTGAAAAATTAAAATCCTTTCAACTGTTCACGTTTGACTAAATGGTGCATAAAATAGACCATCTTTATACACTATAGACTGAGTAATATCTCTTTCAACTCAAAGAAATTGTTAAAACACAGTACTGTCACTTTACTTAAATTTCTGTAAGGGAAATGCATTACTTTAAATGTTCTCATCTAAGATTGCATGTTCAAACAAAAATATTTGATTTTGACATGGACCTTTTGCACATGTACGGTCAACACCAGCAAATTCATTTTCTGATTTGACAGCCATTAAAGAGTTTCACAGTTATATTTAAATCTATTTGCCACCCAGACATTTCATCTATATATAAAAATTAATGTGCTATAACATTTCTCTTACTTGCTTTAGCAATCATATCCAATATTTTTACTGCTAAATGCACCAAAATCAACATTCCTTTAATAGTATATTGATATAAATCTTGGTTGCCTCAAATATACCTCATACAGCACCTGAATAAGTAATGCATGAACCTCTAAAATTGATATGCAATTTGATAAAATTTTGATATAGATATCAGAGGTTTAATATTGCATAATAATCAATATTACCATAGAGCAGCGATAAAAAAAGGAAAATAGGCAATTTATTACCGAAACATTCCTAAGCGGATCAATAATATAAAACATCACAAGATCGGAGAAAATATTTTTGCCTCGTTCTTTATGTTCTCTTCCAAGACTTTGGATGTCAAACTTGACAATTTACGTGACCTACCTATATAAATTAATATAAAGAGTGTGCAGTTGAGATTTGAGTTTTCAGCCTTCTGAATGAGCAGACTGTTAAGATTTACACAGTGTGGAGGGGTCCAGAGGACCATTTTAAATCTCCAGTAGTTTACGTATACACTTGAAAATTCTGTATACAATGTCGGAAACTGTCTTCTATGTCAATTTTATAACTCCTTTGTTTGTGTTCACTGATATTTGTTTTGTCTCAAACATTTAAAAGTTCAAGACAATACCCCATGAATGAAAAGAAAAGAATTATATGTCCTCAAAAATGTGCACCATTATATTTTTACAGAATGTAAAAGATACATCTCAACATTGATCAGCATGGCCTAATTTTAAATTTGGTTTAGGGTATAACAAAGCGATCAAATGCAAATGAAGAAGGGTGGGGGTGGGTGGGGGATAAATATCCTCTACCCAAAACAATAACATCCATACATGTATAAGTTGGACACAAGCACACACATTAATGCAGACAAAATCAATAGATTACACTCCATTATTAAGCATCATGTAACAATTTCTAAATTCGGCTGACCTATATCTTAATTTACTAGAACTAGTAATTAACAAGATTAGATTTACAAACCTTAAGTATCTGGATAGAAGATCAGAACATCCAGTTTTATCAAAGGTGTACTCCATAGTTTAATAGTGAAGGGATAAAATAACAAACTTAAGTCATTGATAGCAGCCCCTCAAGTTTCAACTGTCAACACTCAAGTTATGTGGTCCACAAATGGATCTAATTCACTCCTCACATTGAGTCCATGATTCACATTTTTAGAAAAGTAAATTGCAATCAGGATAAAAAATGACTCTGATCCCAATCTTCAAACTGTGTATTTAAAGTAAGCCTTATATCGCCTCCAATGTCCATTTGTCATTCTAAATCAGGTCAAATCCTCCCCAATCTCTGAATGTGTCCCTCACAAAAAGTAAACTGTAATCCCCTCATTATATACTTAATAATGACAGATTTCCCCCTCTGTTACAACTGTTCTAACCAACCGAATTATACATCTGTCCTAGAAACTATGTCTCCGAAGCAAACAAGAAGTTATTTTTTCCCCCTCTTGCTACATTTAAACTTTGGATACAGATAGGTAATCATGATTTTAAATCCCTGACAGTGAAAAGAACTTTTCACCACGCTAGGGTACGAGATAGTCAATGATTGTTTTGCTAACAATTCGATGTTCTTGTCATAGGTAAGGAGCAGAAGACAAACACGATTAATCCGTATCGATGCCTCGATCCCCCCAAAATATTCCAAATTGAATTAAAAACAGATCAGGTATGGGATTCCGATTGTATGTATACACACCTCCAAGCATTCAGATGGAAAGTAATTTTATCCAGTTCATAATCCGAGTAAATAATGCAAATTTTACACTCTGCTAATCTCGGAAAACAAACTCAGAATTAGATAAAACAAACATTGGAAAACCCTCTTGGCATACTGTCCATTCAAGTTAAATTCTGGCCTACAAATATTATGTAAACCTCGAATAATGTTTGAAATTCCAGCCCATGTAGACTTTAAAACTGTTGAGTCCTACATCATGAGTATATAAAAAATATTGGGTCAGCATTATAGTTGAAACGTAATCAGCTTAAATAAAAAATTGATAGTCAATTTTATTCAAAACAATAAAATATAAAAATTTTAATATTGATAAAATTTAGAAGAAGTTTCAGTAGACTAATAAAATCAAATCAAGCTAAATATATAAATTTTTCTCTGTATATATTTAGAAAGATTTTTTTATCCAAGTATTTAATTTGGCCAGGCCAACAGCTACTAATTTAAATTCAAATCAATGCAAATCTTAGACTAAACTTATTTTCTCTTGGCCAAGAACCCTAAATAGTTTGGTTCCAAGCCATTTCTTTAAAGATTTGAAAATATCAGCTGGAAAATAAAGTAACTCTTATTTAATTCATTAAGTGTACCCTATATTAAAAATCTGTATTTTAATATTTTAGCGAGAAGTAATTTAGTGATTTTAAAATGCTGACTAAAGAATCTATTACACCTAAAATGTAACTAATTTTTTGCGATTTCAGCACCCTCGCTAATAATGCCAAAATTAAATCCTCACAAAAAATTCTGCTTATATGGTCCATAATCATGCAGTACTTTTCTCTTATTTATTAACTGGAATTAAAATTGTCTTAGGCTCTCAGTAAGGTTTTTGAAATATTCCTGCAATAAGTGCAGCAGTTCTTGTACAAAATTTGTTTTTATAAAACATATGTGAACTTTTTAAAATTTTCCTTTATTGCTAACAAAATCTTTCAATTTCAAAAACAAATACAATTATTTTTTTAAACAGATTAATGCAAAAAATAAATTCTTCACACTTGTGTAAAAGGAAAAATCTTATTCTATAGTAATACAAAAGTCCGCTTAGGAGTACATACACACATTGTAAGGAAAATTTGGGAAATCATTGATAAAAATAACTTAAGGGTGTTGTGATAGACAAATAATAATCTTTAGCAATTTCAAAAAGACCCTTATAAAGGTTTAGTTCCAATCTGTCTACTTTTAGAACCTCCTCGAAGGCTGAGACAAATAACTATAGCCTACAAGTACTGACTTTCTCACATATTAAATTCTCTTCTTTAACAAGAGAATATTCCGTAAATTAATTCTTTCAATATTTAGAAATAAAACATTTACTTTTATTTGTGTATGGCTATCCTAACAGGTGCAAACTGACCATAAGGTCAACATGTTTTTCAACAGAATGGCAGATTAATAAAGCCTGGTGTGAAGTACTGGTCTTAAAAAAGGACACAAAAATATATTTTTTAAGGTATATGGTAAATATTTCTACTAAGATCTTTTACCAAGCATGATCAAGTTCATTTTACATGTGCTTGAAGATAAAAACAACATATTGATTTTTAATGATAGGTGGGTCTAAAAAAAGCAGGTCATGGTGACCACACTTCATGTACTTATTTAGGAGAGTCCTCCCCTAGATGGATGGCTGAAAAGATACATTACATAGTAATCAGAATCTGTAATAATTTACTGCACAGTGAGATAATGTAATAAGGCCAACTTAAAATAAATTGTTGGTTTGCCTTCTCCAGCCCAAGGGTGAAAAAATTGGGTTGGTAAATAGGTGAAAAATTAATTATCCTTAAAAATTTCAATATCAACACAGAAATTTTGAAATCTTTTTCCCAGATTGCATTAAAAAAATTTCTAGGGGTTTTAAAAAAGAGGTTTGAGTTGAACCATTATATTTTGTCTAGAGCATCACTTACAAATATAGGTTATGATCAGCATTGAATATTTTATATATGGGTTGCACATGCAATTACCTAAAAACAGACAAAATAAAGATATGTATGATTTTGCCCCTGTAGAGATGGAGAAATTTTATTATTGGTAAGCATTACAAGAAAGACAACTCTTTTAGGTAGTACACAAGTTTCAAAACTTGCATTGCAATAGAAATACATATTCCACACAATCCTGATTAAAATCACAAACCAATACGTGTATATATTATTTTAATCAGTTTACACTATTTCAGGAGGTAGAAAACTTTAACTTTTTAAGCTTTCGTAAATTACCTACCATATTAAGTAAACATGCACGTGCCTGCAGGAAATGCTTCCCGACAACAGAGACTGTAGATACACCAGCTGATACCAATAGAGTTTTAAATGATTAACGGGATCCTAAATAATAATAATAAATTACTCAGAAGTGTTAAACTTAAAGGCTTGATCAAAGATTATCAGAATTAATAACTAAGTCAGCTGTTAATCCTAATGCAGACTAGGGAGATTTTTATCTGCACTACAACCAGATAGAATTTAAAGCTTATACAAAATACGATCACATCTGATCAAGGACCTTAAGGCTCCCTTACTATAAAAGCTACAACTGGGTAATATATGCCAAAAAAGTCTGCAAGAACCTTGACTTGAAGGCAAGCAAAAAAATAATAATGCAATTATGTTTACTGGCAAATGTGAAAATGTTTTTGAACCTTGACAATAAGAAAAGACAATAGAATGTCTGATACGATGCTTTGTTTGGTGCTTTATCTACAGGTATTGTGTAGACTTAAATAACCTCCTATTGAAGAAATAATGAACTGTCCCAGAGCTCCCTGCCACAAGTGAACCATTGATCAATGATACACAATCTTGTGCTCTGTAGAGAAAGAAGAGAATCTTGATGCACCTGTGTGCAACACAACAAAAACTCAGAGAAAAATCTATACACATATTAAAATATTTATTCAATTGAAATTTTTTCTCAAATTAAAATTGTGGTTTTTAAAGCATACATGCACTTCAAATTTATTTTTATGTTTATATGGTTCTGAACAGAAATCAGATATTTTTTTCAATAAATTAATGTTGACAATAGGCCTCTTTAATCTTAAAGTCTGCACACATATAAGTATACTTGCCTAGCAATATTGCAAATTATCCCCTGATGGGTATTCAGTGTGCATAATCTTTCTTTAAAATTCAATATTGCTTTTAATGTTTAATTGATTAAAATACACAATTTCTTCCATGTCATTTGATTGATTGTATATTGTTTTATGTCCCATTCAAAAATTTTTTCACTCATATAGAGAAATCACCGTATCTTGGTGAAGGGCTTCAAATTAAGACCTATACTCGGTGACAGGGCCATTGAGCAGTGAGGGTTCTTTATCGTGCCAACACCTGCCATGACACAGGACCTATGTTTTTAAGGTTTTATCCAAAAGAACAGTCACTACCTATGTTTTATGTCCTAGGCTTGATGTGGCACTGCGAACGAGAATCAAACCCAGGCCTCTCGATCATGAAGTGAATGCTCTACCACTAGGATACCAAGACCGGTCTCCATGTCATTTGAACAAATTTTGAATTACATTTGATTCAACTTTCTAATCAAATCTGGATCAGGTGAGCTAAAGTAAAGAAACACCCTTGGGTCCCTTGCACATGTTCAGGTATAAATTGATGAGATTTTATTTAATGTGCGCATTCCCAGTACAATAATAATGACATTTTTATTCATTATCTGTAATTCTTCATTTATTTGGAGATCTTACATTCACAATACAATGAGAATGACAAAAACCAAAATTCAGCAGTAACAAGTACAAACACAGGCACTTAGATGACATAAACACTGTTCTGTCGGAATGACTCTCTATCCCTCTAATGATATGTTGTACAAACAGACAGAAATCAGACAAAGTTCTACTCTGTGTACAAGTGCAATGAATCTTACCTTACAGTGAAGTACAAAGGGAAAATCCATTGACAAAATCACGCTTATACCACTCTGAGATAAATTACACACAAATATTTACTTCCAAGCTCAAGAATATATCACAGGACAAACTCTGTTCTATTTAGAAGCGGGTATATTCCAGCATGATGTCTTGAGAGATAGGTTGTCAAACAGAGACAAATAGAGACTATTGACCACCCTCTAAAGCATGTAAACACACACTACATAAATATTATCAAACTTAGTTTAACTTACAATAGAGCAAAAATAACTATATATTATCCTTGTAAAATTATCAAAAGCACCCATTTAAAACCTTAACATAATCATTTAAACAGAAATTATAAACCTGTACAATGTGCCCATACAATATTTAGGCATGAAAGCATGCCATGGTCATATCTACACATGAATTCACTTAGAGAATTTCAAACTTTTTGAATTCTTGAAGAAAGAAACCAAATTACCGGGTAAGTTTCATCCAACATGAAGAAAAAAATGTTGCAACTTTCAATAAAATGGGTTAACTATTAAATATTTACAGGTGAAAACATTTACAGGTAATTCCAGACATATAAAAATGTCTTCAGGAAAGAGAGAACAGAGGTCCATGTACTACATGGCCATCTGAACTAATTACTTAATTCAGATTCGGCCTTCTAATATTATACATAATGTGAATCAGTCAATTACTCAAGGAAATTAAACCTAAGAACCTTAGATATGCAATGTGCTCAATATGCTAAAATACAGAGTATATCAAAAGTACTGGACCTTCTCCAAACAAAAATTATACATCTTACACTTTCATTTTATCCTTTAATTGGTTCTTACTGTGAATATAAACCTGCATAGTACTGTTTTGCTTTACTTTCAATGAAATCAATCAATTTATTTACCTGTTTTCTGCATGATGGCCAAATAAACTCCATTGTTCAATGGACACAAATACTATACTGTACAATAGAATTGATAAATCTCATCTGTGTATGAAATTCACTTTATAAGCAGATCAAAATCCAAGGTATCCACTAACTCAATTACCGGCTCATCAAAAATTTAGATCCACCCTTCAACATAACTTGGTCAAGCATTTCCTCAGCTTTTTCCAATGCACAAAAAGATAAGACTCCAAGTTTGATACACATCATTAATCATTAAGGAGGACTATTATCAAGGGAGGTAATTTCAACTTATCAACATCTGTCAAGGAATTTCAGGAACTCTTATTGCTAATCAATAATTACTCCCACAATACCTGAAATATATAAATCTCACAACCACAAACAACAAACACTGGTCCACAAGGCACACCTGAGTCACCTTCACCTTGCTGATTTGTTTTTCATCATACCCCCCCCCCCTTATATATGTATCCTTAGGAAAAATTTTGATAGTCTTTCATCCCCCCTTCCTCAATATCATGTTATAATTGGAACAAAATTTAATCTACACTGCCAGAGGATGCTTCAATATAATTTCAACCCATTTTGTCTTTGCTCTTCTTGAGAAGAGGGATCTTAAAATTGTTTCTTTAATTTTTTATGTAAAACATTGATCATCTAATGAGCCCCCTTACCCCTGGGTTTCGAGATTTTAACAAACTTCAATCTATACAACTGGAGGAAGCTTCCATTAAAGTATGGCTTTGTACTGTCTGAGATTTTAAAACGTATTTCAAATACCGTATAGCTGGTTTTCTTGGCGGGTGTAAAATTTGGCGTTTTGCCATTAAAGTATGGACACAGGGCTTCATCTCTTTGCAGATGAACACTGTCTTTAACTGTTAGATTTTAAAAAATTTTAGTATTTCAAATATATAACCCGCTATACGGTATATCCCTATTCCCAATTCTGGTCCCACCCTTTCCTTGGGGGATTTGATTTGAACACTTTTTAATCTACACTACACCAGGAAGCTTCCACTTGTTTCCCCAGTAGTTCCTTTTTTTTTAATGACCTTGACCCTTTATGGGGATTTTATTTTTCATTTAAACAATTAGGAATTTCTTTAACCCAAGGAGGTTTAACTTGGCCCAGTGTACCTGCATTGATGTATTACAAGGAAGATAACTCAAAGCAATTTTTAAACACCCAATTTTATGTTAACCTACCTGATTCAAGATCTTTGCCTTCAATCATTAAAAAAACAATAGCTTCTGAAAATCTTCCTTTATGGGGCTTTTACTTTTCATTTAAACAATTTAGAATTTCTTTAACCCAAGGAGGTTTTACTTGGCCCAGTGGTTCTCAAGAAGAAGTTGAAAATGTAAAAAGCTTATTCAATTGTGAATATATACAGCCAAAGATCAATATATGGAAACAATAAAAAATTTTTAAACACACGGGTGGTGAATATTTTCAGAAAAGATTCTTTATGGTACATTGTATATATATGTTCAGGTGTCCTACAAATTTTTTTTTTTAGATATGCCTTTTACTCTGTGTTCTTTTCTTTAGACAACCATACATGTATTACATAATTTTCCTAGTTTCACTCAAATTTAGACACGAAACACGGAATGTTGACCCTGATCACCAGACACAGACTTCCTGTGTAAATCCATCTCCAATATGCTACGTGTATATAGATTTTTGACCATGAAATCTCCCCCTCCTCAGGTAACCATACGGTAAAAAAATTGGGTCTTTAAGTCAAAGGATTATTTTACCTGAATTTTTTATTACAAACTTGACAATAGCTTACTTGTCGTATCCGTTATGAAGTTGTCCTGTCACACTGGTCTGGGGAGGGGGTCGGGGGGAGGCCGTGTTGAAACTCGTGGTCACTTCAACCAAGTCTTCCTTCATAGGTAATCGAGTCTTCTCAATGGACATCGGGGATGTTTCAACATTCTTTCCATCATTTCTAGCACCATCTACTGAGTCTGGTTCTAAATCAATCAGGGGAGGGCTACCAGTTTTCACCTGCTTCACTTCCTCTTTGATGGCCTGGGTTTTGACCGAGGTAAAGCTTGTCCCTTCTGAAGGAGGAGCTTGAAGGTCCCCCTTGGTTTCATGAGCTATAATTTCCTCCTGTACCTCCTTCTGTGGGGGTTTGGAGGACTCTGACTGGAAGGGTTTGATGTTCAGTCTCACTGTTGGAGGGGTGTCAGGAGATTTTACACCCTATAAGAACAGAAAATCTTTGTAAATCTTTTTGTAACTCATTTATTGTGTACATCTATAAAACTGTATTTATAAGTACAAAAAATTATACTTGTTTCATCCCAGTTTATTGTGTACATCTAAAGGGCTTAATTTCTCCAGATGACACATGCATTTTTTTTCAACCCGTAACCCGATTATTTTTTATGACCCGGCGGGTCATACATTTACTACATGTATTTTAATTTACAACCCAAGCTAACTACGTAAACAATGCCGAAAAAATTATCTGTGCAGGTGTTAACAATTAACTGGGTGTTGTTTTGACAAATCAATGTTTGAAGTCAATTAAAATGGCTTCCGATAGAACTGTTATCAGGGCCAAAAACAAGTTGAACTAAACACATGTCTCTGATTGTACCAAGTAAAAGAGAAACGATATTTATGTACATATCATCTCTTTCATTCTAGATAAAATAAAGTGATCGATAACAGTAAGCCTAACTTCACATTTAAAACATATAGCAGTAGTTAATTAATTAAGAGAGAGGAAAAATAACTTCAAAACTGAAATTGGTATTCTTTCAAATTTAGCAGAAACTGAAAAGGCTTTAATGTACACTTACTTCAGGTCAATGCTAATACAAGAAACCTTCAATTTCCATTTTTTTTTAACATGTAAATTTAAATTAAATTATGTATGAATTTTTTGTCTATATTTTTTCTTTCTCAATACACAAAATAAATATATGGGCTTGTCGTTACGCGTTATTTTTTTACTCCAAATCTGGTCATGACCAGATTTTTACATGCTGGAGGTTGGCAAGTATGAGATGACACATTTTGCACTGCACAGAAAACAGATATATTGGATTTCGGATTTTAAATGTCATATCATGAGATGTTTCATTCTTACTGTTATAGTTGGTGACCTTTAGATTGAATAATTATAAGGCCTTTACAAACTAGTGAATGCATTACCCGTTAAAACATACACAGTCTACAATCAGGCCTTTAAAAGCAAAAGTAAGCTTCTGAGAGGCAGCTAAATTCTGAAACTACTCATATTTACTAAGTACTGTAACAACTCTAAATCTAAAATCAGTAACTGCAATGGTGTGGCAAGATCCTAAGCTGCTATCTACAATAAGAGCTATATATAATTGGAAAAATTTATATGGAATAAAACATTTCATTTTTATATTTCCTAAATAGTTTCAAAACAAAAAAGCAAGTATATAGCATATAATTCTTCCTTCTCCTTTTCCTCTGTAAAACATGCATTTATCATTTTAACTAGTAAAATAATGGCTATAAAAAGTTAAGATATATATACAGGTAGACTGTAGCTACTGACCCCACACATGCAAGGTAACCATTTAGGCTAAGGAAATCTTTTGTCACACCCTGTATGCCATGTAAATCATAATGAGGCTCTATGATACATGTTGACAATTTTAAATCATGTTCTTTAACAAATAAGTAAAATTTGACAATTTTTTTAGAAGAAAAGTTACCTTGCAAAATGCAATAGAGTCCCCATAAAATTTTCATAAATCTGGGAGTGTAAATTGCATATTACATCTAAATGACATCTATATTTACTTTATATGCAATAAATGATACATTATATATATATACATATAAGGTACATTATATGGGTATTCAGATATGAGTAACTATATGAGGTGTATAAATGCTGGTCTTTGATACATGAGTATAAATACTAATCATATTCTAAGAACTAAAGCTGCTCTACTTCCAATAAATCAACTAAACCTAACCAAACTGATTATATATAATAAAGAAGGCAGGATATGGCAGGTGATATCATACCTCAGATTTCAAAAAATCTTTCACGTGAAGAAAGCTGGCTTTTTTCATCTCCTTCTGTTTATAAACATACATTATTGGAAAAAGGCCCAGTCTTTAATTTCTATCATTTATCTTAGGGAAGTTTTGTATGACAATGTTTAGTTATTTAAGAAGGAAAACTACTGTCAATTTCTTAGACTAGTTTGTTAAATATTTCAAATTGACATTTAATTTAAACAGACATAAATCTTTCCTCATCATGCAGTTTTTAAAGGTTGTAAAATACTTTCTTTCATTAACAAACCAGAACATAATAAGAACACTTTTGAAAACTAGCAAAGCAGGTCATTAAATGACTATTGGATCAAATGACTGTTATATCACATGATCTGGGATGGCGGGGTAAATATAGTGGGGGGGGGATATGAAGGTTTCTTACCCGTTTCTGAGACCCTGATGAGGAATCGAAAGAGGACTGGGATTTGGGAGACAGAGGCTGGGTCTCCTCCACATGGTCCTCCACAAGGAATTCCTCCTCAGCATGTTCCTCCACAAGGAATTCCTCCTCAAGCTCTCGCTCCCTCTACAAAGTAAATTGTACTCACTGAATCACAGGGAAAAAATGGTCACCTCCATTTTCATGTCAATACTGGCCACAACATACTCTTTGGCATTGTAGAAATATTACTGCTCCCTTATAAATCATTGCTATTTTTACAATTGCTTGAATTTGTAAAACACAAAGTATAAATGACTTTAAAGTTATTATACAATACACAGAATTCTAACTATTGTTCATGTGCCATAACTCTCTAATGAAGAGTTATAGATACACATTTACTAGAACAGTGGCATACCATCTATAGAAGAGCCATAAACACAATAACATAGCCTTACCATCTGCTCCTCCTCTGCCTCCCTCCTCAATCTCTCCTGCGTCTGCCTCTCCTCCTCCTCCCATTTCTGTTGTCGTGACAACTCAGCCTCTCTTTGGATTTGTTCCAGTCTGTGTTCTTCCTCCTGGGCCCATCTCTCTTCTTCCTTGTGGAGCCTTTCCTCTTCTTCCATGGCCTGCCTCTGCTCCTCTTCCCACTTCCTCTGCTGCTCTTCTTCCTTTGATTTCTGTTTCTGTAATTTATCCTGTTCAAAGTCAAAAAAAAAAGTTTTCTTCAAACCACATGTAGACAAAAATACATTATGTAATTTTTTTTTTTGAATTGATACGGAGGGAAGATTTCAAACATACAAGGCATATAAGTGATTACCTTCTCTTGCTGTCTTTCAATCTCCCATTCACTTATAGATTCTTCTTCAATATCCTCTGACACTGAGAGCTCTCCCTTTTGAGAACTCTCCTTTGTTTCTGGGGGAGGAGGTACACCATACACAGGAGGGGCAGATTCTGAGGGCAACATATCATCCTGAAAAATGTACACAATTACTTTCCATTGAATGAATTTCAAATTTCCCTCTACAGTGAGATATGGATTCAGCAAACATGCTTACTGTGAATTCAAACTGCATAGTGATTTTTAATCTTAGTGGCTAAAGAACAAATTGTGATCTTAAAGAATAAATTATGTTTATAACAAAATCAAAACTGCTTATATCTGGTACTTTACTTTAGGTGTGATTTATTTAAATCAAAATACTGTGAGCAAACTTTTATTTATTTGTGACGAATTTATTTCACGATTTCCAGGGGGTAAACTAATTCAGGATGATTAATTTTTGTGATCAAGCTTTTCATTGATCTGTTGTTAATAAAAGACACAGAGACTTTAAGGACCGGTTGGCAGCAAGAAGTATTGGCCATGACAAAGCTCTTGTGAACCTCATGAAAATTTCTTGCTCATGAATAAAAGTAGGTTTTAATGGAAGGAAACTAATTTCAAGTTTTCTAGTAATAATAAAACTATGGAACCACTATAATGACATATTTCTGATTTATAACACCTGTTCCTACCTCGGAGTCCCAGTCTGAGTCCTCATCTTCTTCCTCCGAGAGCAGAGCTTCCTGTTTCTTTGGGACGGCTGCTGCCTGGTTGTCAAGGCTGTGAACTGGCTCTATTATCTCCTCCTTCTTCCTGTCCTGGACTGGTGGCTCCATCTTCTGGACCTCATTCTCTACAGAGAGGTGATGGTCTTCAGCTTCATCTTCAATTTCTTCATTTACTTTTGATTCTTCTTGCTTTGATTTCTAAATTGACATGTAAGAGTAAAGACATAAATTTCTCCAAGTGATTTTGCACTGCATAATAGTGAATCTTACTTCACACTACAAAAAAATGAACACAATAATAGCTGAATGAATGTTCCCAGATGGACTAACAAACTGTCACTTAAATTTGATTTTTGAGAATTGCACGATTTTGTGACTCACCATTTCAGTAAAATAGGTCATATTTTGGATCCTCGGGGTGACCCCATCTTCTGCTGTAGAGTCCCATTGGCTGGTGGTCTATGATATAAATAGTAACAAAGGTCTTAGTTACTAAGACTAGAGGATGTTTAATAATTGGCAATTAGAAAAGAACTTGATCTAAAATAAAACATTATGTGGTGAAAAAAGTTTATTTTCAAAGTACATTATCATTTTCTATTCTGGGTACTAAATATATGTATCTCCATGATCTCAGACCTAAACATCTTTTTTGATTTTATGGTAAAAGAAACACTCTTTCAACAATGTAATACTAGTATATGTTTATGCTATTTTTCAAAGTATATTTCTCTTGATTCAACATAAATCTAGGAACTATTACAATTGTACTTTCCATGAGTATTCTTGGTTAATTTCTTACATCTGTCACAATATTTTCTGATGTAATGTGATTATTTCACAACCAAAAGTGTGTCTATGCATCAGTGCATGTAATGTGTAGCTAAAGAGGAGAGTCAGTAGTTCATTTTCACACAGATATGAGATTTTCAGAAAAAAAGGGTGCCCAAGTAGCAAAATCTACAAGATTATCATTCCAGACCAAACCACCTCAACATAACATATCAGTGTTATACTAAACAACATTATACAGTTAAAAGACTGTCACAGCACAGGTAAACAGAGGGATAAATTAGCACAAACACTGCAAACTAGTATTACCACAGCAGACAGAAACAAAAATAGATCTAGACCTGTCTATGTGCAGAAATGTGCTTCAACACCATCAAATTTAAACTCTCAACCTCTTCATCTGATGGCACTTGCTCTGGGGAATCCTTAGGCTGAGGTTTGTCCTTGACCTTGACCTGATCCCCTGACCTTGAGGCCAACACCTGGGCCACCTCGTGGTCAGTTTCTGGGTCATCACTAAGTTCCTCATTTTTGTCACAAGCTGTTGGTTCTAACTGCACTGGGATTTCATCAAGCCCCATGACCTCTACCCTGGGGGATTCGTCTTCTATGGTCAAGTCCACCACCTCATTATTTGATTCCTCTTGGAAGGGTTCCAGGGGTGAGACATTCATATCAAAGTCATCACTAGGGGTGTAGTCCAGAGTTATGGGGGAATCCCCTATCCCCAGTAAGGTTCCGTCCCTCTTGACCTCCTTTAAGGTACCATCTCGGTGGACCTCGATTCGTTTTGGTTTGAGTTCGACCTCACTTTCCTCAAAGTCAGACAAACCATCGTCATCCTCGTCAAAGTGTGTCACTTCATATCTAGCCTTCACTTGACTATTCTCCTCAATTTCCTGACAATTCCAAGTCAACATGGTACATAATGAACACACGTTTAACATTTGGCAATCAAACAAAATTTTCATTCCCATGCATTTCTACCTAATGTTAGTATGATCTAAATTTCTATTTATTTTAATAAATTTGAACATTCTCATTTCCCTGATATGCTAAATACCTGTCATAATTAACCTAAAGGTCTTACAAACATGTACACACTATTGACAACTCACCTGATCAGGGTCCGCCTCATTTTCTAGGTCACTGTCCCACTCCGATCCCTGTAACACAATGTCTATGCAATAAATAAACAATTCGAAGAATACGAACAATGGAGGGGATAGAACAATACAAAAACAGTCTAAATTCAAGCATCATTGATAGTCAGATTTTGAACTTTTAAAATTACAAAGTATCTGAGCAATATAGCTGTATGATATGATAACAAACTTACATCAGATCTGGGTGTAATTATCTTCTTCTTTGTGTTTTTCTCCACCTCCTCTTGGCTTGCCTTTAATTAAATGTAATACATGAATACACTTACATCATCATTACAAAAGTCAGGTACCGTAGATAGAAAAAATATATCTACAGCAAAACTTGTTTAGTAGGAACACAGATATTGCAAATTCACAGATATAGCGAAGATACATGTATATTATTATTAGATCCCCAGCTAAATAAATTTAACAAATTCCTTATAAGGATATAATGAATTACGGATATAGCGACAGGGATTTTCCACACCATTTTGGGGATGGGGCACAGGCCCTTACAATTGGGAATTTAACGACATTTTATCAATCTTTGGGAATTTTTATTGGATGATGTTTTTCAAGAAATAAACACTTATAATGAATAAAATTGATTTTTACTTCATTATTATTCAGAACTATAATTCAGAGAATAGATTTAATTATTATTAAGTTTTAGTCAAGTTTCCTAAAACTTTGTTCATTTCATTCAGATTTAAAACCTGACCATGTTTGTTTCACATGAATTTTTATCAAGTTAACTTTGTAGAGTTTTTGTGCATTAAAAAATTGAACACATGCTGACCATATTTGGGGAAAATGGAAGGAATTTGCAATTGGGAATGGGGCCCATATTCGGCTCTACACGTGGTAGTGGAAAATCCCTGAGCGAATTAATTTCAAAGGTCCCAGTGACTTTGTTATGTACAAGTTTTACTGTATACTATCTGAATAACACAAATAATTGAGCTGCTTTTTAAATGACTGCTGATTGACCCAGACTCTGACCTGTTTCCAGTTTTTGAGTATCCCTGGCCGGGGGGTGATGGAGGGATGGGTGGAGTCCCACTCACTCTCCTGATTGTCTGGGTCCACCTCCGTGACTCTGGGGGGTGGGGACGCGGGGAGGGTGGGTTCCTCATCAGACAGCTCGGAGATCTCTGGACCACTATCCACATCATCGTCTATACCAAGGTCAGCCAAGAAAGCTACAAAATGTTAGGGATCAAATAAAACATGGAAGTAAGTGTAAGAAAATATTAATCACTCAAGTGGGAATAATTATTCTAACCATGCATAAAAAAGAATTAAATATTATCTCAATTTTAAAACATTTCCATCATCAAAATATTATAATTAAAGACTACGACCTGAGAATATGATTTCAAAAGTAGTTTTGTTCTAATGTATTTAGACTCATTCCACTGTACCTTTAATGGTTGACATATCTTTTATTAAAATTGTTAATCAATAATATTCAGTCAAACCTCAATATCTTGAACTCGCAGAAATAAATTGTTCGAGGTACATATGTATCTGAGGATTCAACAAATCTAGAGTCAAATACTAAAGAATATGGGAGTTGGGACTTCCAAATGACTCTGACATATCTGTGATATTCAAGTTATAGGAGTTCAAGATATCTAAGTTTAACTGTATCTTCAGAAATCAAGAAAACAGCCCCAGTACTTAGAATCTAAGAGCCAAAGGACAGATAAAATTAATGATCAAAAGACCACATGTGTGCAGTGACTTAGACACACATTAATTTTTATGACACAAATTTTAAGAAAAAATTATATTGTGAAAAATGTTTCAATTGAAGTGTGGATTATAAAAAAAACACACAAAAATATTAGACCAAAATCTATAACTTAGCTATATACTAATATTTATTATAAAATAAATGTACTACTAGACACTCAAGAAGCTTAGATAACAAAGAGCCCACCTTTGTAAAAAAAGAATGTGATTTCTTTTACATCAAAGCATAATTTCACAAATATTCCTTGGATATAATAACTGACTGCTATTCATTCAGCTTCCCATGCACTACTTTAGTTAGTACTCTCTTTGAGTCTATTTTAATATCCATGAAAAGATCCAAACAAAACATATGCTTACATGGCATAAGTCACATCTTTTTCTAGGTCCAATAAAAAATGTATCCATGTCTCTTGCACATGCAAGGACACATGCATGTTTTAAAACATAACAGGACTATTTTCATTAGAGGAGGTAGATGTAAAACCTAACTCTTCTTAAAATCGACAACAGTTATAAAAAGTTATTTTAATCTCTACAATGCTGATTAATACAACCTAAATAAATTTATGTCATAATGGCAAAGAATGAAACTTACAGTACTAGACATGTAAATAAACCAACTACAAATCATACACCATGAAATCTTAACGACGTTCGATCCTGATATTTAAAGTCTTAAACTTTTTTTGCCAAGTATATTTTTAATTTTTACATACATAGCTTAATTAAAATTCAAATCAAAAAATGGGGGTCAATATGCTTCTTTTAGCGCTACAGTACATTTAATATGACCTTTCTGCACTGAAATTTGTGTCTTAATTAAAAATTACATCTTTGACGTTTTCCCTCCAATCTTTTTATCCAATTAAAGCATGAAACAAAATGAACTCTAAGTCTGTTTTAAAAAAGACACTTAAAAATTGTGACTAAGAAAAAGTTTCAAATTGCTTTGCATAATCAATAATTTGACCTTTCTGCACTAATAAAATGTGATTTTTCCGACATTGAAAATATAATAAGCAAGAAAATCATTTTAAAGTCTTAAAATTTTTCTGATTTTAAGCAAATAGGTCAAAGTTATCTTGAATATTTAGAAAAAAACATCAAAAGTGGGGGTATATGATTTACATTTTCAGATATTACTAAAAAAGTGTGAATTTTACGTTAAATTTGGCTCAATTTTTTTTTCTGGATTTTCAGAATATATTTACTATATTTGTCACACTTTGTTGATAGAATTCATAAGAAATAATTTAATGGATATTTCAGAACCAGTATAACATATTTCACTGCAAAAAACAGCTTTGTGTGCAACCAGCATGGAAAAATAGGCATCCAAAATTAACAGTACTGTTATAGTTCAAATGGAAAAAACTGACCATTTTCGTCTAAAAAACCTTCCGCCACAAAATATAGTCCCTAGCTTAATTCTCCTTGAGTGGAATTTAATCGCGGTTTTTTCATTGAACATAGTTTAATTTGCATTGTAAAATTCAGTTTTATTGTTAGAACCTAAAAATGATGCTTAATTTTATGAATAAAGGACCTGTGCGAAATACGCTCAAAATATCAGGATCGAACGTCCTTAAATAGAAATCTTGATTTACTCTATTCTAAATCAAAATCCATAAATGCCAAGAAGCAGGTACATGCTACATGCTAACAACAGCAAAAAAGCCAGTCAGGTTACTAAGGGATCTGGTGCAAAAATCATGTTGTCATGTGGCCAGGGAAATGTTAAAAAAAAAACAGACTTATTTCATTTCTACATTTGTCCTAATGATGTTTGTTATTTAATTTAAATTTCTATCCAAAGATCTATCATTTATCAGAAACAAGAGGCCCATGGGCCACATCGCTCACCTGAGAAGCTTTGGCCATGCTGTTCTTTAACAGATTCCCCCCTTCGTAATACCAATTGTGACCAAGCCCTATCCCCAGGGGTTATGATTTGGACAATTTAGAATCTACACTACCCCAAGATTCACATAAGTTTCGGCTTTTCTGGCCCAATGGTTCTTAAGAAGATTTTCAAAGATTTTTCAATATATATTTCAAATTTTTCAATGTAAAACTTGGATTCCCTACTGTGGCCTCGCCCAACCCCAGGGGTCATAATTTGGAAAATTTAGAATCTACACTTACCCCAGAATGCTTTCACATAAGTTTGAGCTTTTCTGGCCCATTGCTTCTTGAGAAGAAGATTTTAAAGATTTTTCCTATATATTTCTATGTAAAACTTGGATTCCCTATTGTGGCCCCGCCCTACACCCGGAGTCATAATTTTAACAATTTGGAATCTAGACACTACCCCTGAATGCTTCCACATAAGTTTCAGCTTTCTGGCCAAATGGTTCTTGAGAAGAAGATTTTTAAATTTTTTTCCTATATATTTCTATGTAAAACTTGATTTCCCTATTGTGGCCCCGCCCTACCCCAAGGGGTCATGATTTTTACAATTAAGAATCTACACTACCCCAGGATGCTTCCACATAAGTTTCAGCTTTACTGGCTGAATGGTTCTTGGGAAGAAGATTTTTAAAGTTTTTTTTCCTATATATTTCTATGTAAAACATAGTTTCCCTATTGCGGCCCCGCCCTACCCCCGGGGGTCATGATTTAAACAATTTAGAATCTACACAACACCAGAATGCTTCCACATAAGTTTCAGCTTTTCTGGCCAAATGGTTCTTGAGAAGAAGATTTTTAAAGTTTTTTTTCCTATATATTTCTATGTAAAACTTGATTTCCCTATTGAGGCCCCGCCCTACCCCCTGGGGTCATGATTTTAACAATTTAGAATCTACACCACCCCAGAATGCTTCCACATAAATTTCAGCTTTTCTGGCCAAATGGTTCTTGAGAAGAAGATTTTTAAAGTTTTTTCCTATATATTTCTATGTAAAAATTGGATTTCCTATTGTGGCCCCGCCCTACCCCCGGGGGTCATGATTTTAACAATTTAGAATCTACACTACCCCAGGATGCTTCCACATAAGTTTCAGCTTTTCTGGCCCAGTGGTTCTTAAGAAGAAGATTTTTTAATGACCCCACCCTATTTTTGTATTTTCTTGATTATCTCCCCTTGGAAAGGGACTTGGCCCTTGATTTTAACAATTTAAATTCCCCATCACCCAAGGATGCTTTGTACCAAGTTTGGTTAAAATTGGCCCAGTGGTTCTTGAGAAGAAGTTGAAAATGTGAAAAGTTTACAGACGGACGGACGGACAGACAGACAGACAGACAGACAGACGGACGGACGGACGGACGACGGACAACGGGTGATCAGAAAAGCTCACTTGAGCTTTCAGCTCAGGTGAGCTAAAAATGCTTTATACAAACTTCACTGCATTTATTTTCACAAATTATTACTTTTGATTTCCTACATGTATAGTCAAAACATAAATGCAAATATCCTGTATGAGAAATGAACTCTTTACTTTAAATTTAACCTGGTACAAAAATCTCCATGGCCACATAAAAATTTAAAAGATATGTGAAAAGAAAAGTCTACATCCAGAATAAATCTAGAATACAACCTTTGCCCTGATTTTCATCAGCTGTGAACATGCAATGTAAACAACATCAATAAGAGATGATGTAGGAGGTCCTCTAAGGGGATTATAAAACTAAGAGGTTCACAAAAGGAAAAGGGGAGTCAAAAAATATTGTTGCTTGCGTCATGTGGATGAGGTACATGCTTTCTTTTTACTATTGCAACACTTTCTTTGCAGTTTGCAAAGTACATTCCATGCATAAAAAATTTCAATATTGCATGCTTTGGCACCCGGTCTTCTTTTTATATTTTTAAAACTAAAATATCCTTTTCATAAAATAAATATTAAACAATTTTTTTTATTTTCAAAGATATAACCAAAACTGTATTATGCAATTAACAAGAGAGAATAAACAAATTTTAGATGGAGACAGGGCACACCATTTTTTACAGAAAGAGTCACAGGGCAGAAATATTAGTTCACTTCAGCATAAAACACCGAACTATTTACCACTTTGCTTGCTCAAGATGCCTTAAAAACATACACAAGTCATTCTGTTAGTACATTTCCCACATGCATGCATATATTTCAATAGATAATTTCATATACATACATTAAATTACATCTTCTAAACCATTGTTATAAAATGTAAACATGGTAAATATACGAGTATATCATGATATTTATAACTGTTATTTTGACAGATGTTACGACAAATATATGTCGAATATTAAAATTTAAGTTTTAATTGAACATCAAAAACGATATACAGTCAAACTTGTTTTAAGAGGCCACCTTTGGGAAGTCTGGAAACTGGCCACTTAAGACAGGTGGCCTCTTATTCCAGTTTGCCCTCAAAATAGCCAGTCGGTCAATAGATAATCAACATTAAGCACTACAGTTAAATTAATTAATCAGAAAATTAAACTGTTACAGGTAAATTTCACAAAAGTTTTTTAGGTGTATATAATTATATTAATTCATGCTCAAAAAAAAAAAAAAATAATTCCAAATTGTTACTTTGTTTGTGCATGTTTCTGAACCTACATATCAGTTAAACGTCATACATTCCTCAGTGTGATTTTTTACATTGAAATATTAAGTAAACTCTTTTAATTAGCATTTGTAAATAAAATAAAGTCTAGAAATTTATTTAAGCAAGTTTAAGTAATGTTCAGCAGTGTAACCCCCCCCCCATTTAATTAATCGGCGATTACCTTACTTGCTGGAGTTTTTAAAGTCTGGTCTTTGTATTTATATAAAGCTGTCAGAATTTCTATGTAATATAGATAGACACACAAATAAGATTAACCAGTTGACAGAGGTGTATTTACGCAGTTGAAAATCATTCTACAACACAGGTGTCCTGTGGAGTAGAGCGTAACTAATCCCTATCGATCGTCTCTTGATAGTGAAATTCACGAGATAATCATGCACTTTGTTTTCACAAGAGTAGCAATTAGGGTTTCTACATGGAATCAAAATCTAAAAGGTGTTAAAATATGGATAGCCCTGTATTAGGTCACATACTCTCAGTAAACATTCAAGGTAATGATGAATTAATATCGAAAAGTACAAAATCTAGTAGAAGTATAAGCTTTAAGATTGAATTTCTTTAGATCTGGAAAAATATTAATTGTAATTCAATTCTTTTAAACTTTCATCTTAAAAAATAATTACAAAATGGTCTAACAGGAGAAATATATTTTTTTCACTAATACAAACTAAGTTCAGCGTATCTAGAAGTAATTTGTTTAATTGCTTTAATAGTTCAAATTGACTATCGAGCATATAATTACCCAAGCGAATGTGTTAAAAAGACGACACAGAATTGCAACAAGTGACGAAATGGCCGCTTATTTCAGTGTCCATAAGGCTGTGGGTGATGATTTGAGTGGCCGCTGGCCGCGTTACACAGGTGGCCGTTTATTCCAGTTAAAATATATAGTAAAAGTCGTCGGGGGGAACTGAAAGTGGCCGCTGACCGCGAGTGGCCGTTGATTTCGGGTGGCCGCTAAGACAAGTTTGACTGTATCTTTTTATCATGATATTTATTTCAAATATTCAAAATTCTAAAACTTTATATCAAATTCTTCTCACAAGAACTAAACTTTGGAATTGAATGAATTTATAATAGTATGTTTCCCCTACCTCTCTGTTTCTCCTTGTCAAAGTCCAAGGATGGAGATAAATTAGTTACGCCTGTCGGTAAATATCCCGATGAAGATGTCTTAAAAAACAAGATTTAAATCCGTTAATATCATATCTAATATTACATTTATTATACATGTACTAGTTATTTTTACAACTGCAAAATACTGTTTACAGATTAGGATATTGACACAGAGAGATTTGTAAGAACAAAATCTGATTTACAATTCAGTCCAACAATTTCTCAACCTTTCAATAAATATTCATATAAGTCTGCCCACTACATGCATTACAATAATCTCATCTACTGTAAATCACTTTTAATTCGTGAGAACTTTATTTTCGCATAATTACGTGAGACAGTGTGTTCGCGAAAATTTAATTCTAGCATATAATAATATTCCTTAAGATTATATAGAGCAATAACCACAATTCGTGAAAATTTTGTCTCGCTAATCAAGAGTCAATGACGATCTCGCGAAAATAAGGTGTCGCGAAAATTAAGTGATCTACAGTATTTTGAAGTCTTTTCTAATTTGTCCGAGGCTCTTTATATTCCTCTATATCTACTCACGTATCTTCGTCTGACCAGGCCTGCATGGGGGCCATAAAACTTGGATGAACTCTCTTGTGATCTCAGTCTTACTTTTCCAATAATTAATTCTTTTAGTAAAAGTGAGACTAAGACCAAAAAATAGCTCACTAAAGTTTTAAAGTTTTTAAGTTTTATGGCCCCTTGGCCTCTAGGCCTGGATTTGAGCTACCGTATATACTCCTCTTTAAGTCGGCCGGACGGTCCACCTATAAGTCGGTTGGATTTATTAGGTGATTTTTGAGAAATTTGTCATTGACCCGCTTATAAGTCGGTACCACCTTTTGACTCGTTTGGTTGATAATTTTAAGTAAATTCACTGATGTTTTAACCTGGTTTCAATTAATATTTTCGAGATGACTATAACATTTGATTTTAATACATATGAAACAAATAAGTAATATACACTTAAAATACAAATAAACAAGAGATGTTTGTAAAACACTTATGCCCCCCTCCCCCCCCCCCATTGGAATTTTTTTGTAAGTCCAAGGGGCATAACTCTGTCAAAAATGGTGCGATTGTACCCAAAACAGAACTTGACCTAGATATTCATCTGATAAATCTGTATATTAAATTTCATCTCAGTATGTGCAAAGGGTGCAAAGAAAATGAACGGAAACTGCAAATAATTGGAATTTTTTCAAACTGCAAGGGGCATAACTCTGTCAAATATGGTGCGATCGTACCCGAAACAGAACTTGACCTAGATATTAATGTGATATATCTGTATAGTAAATTTGATGTCAGTATGTGCCACGGTTGCAAAGAAAATGAGCGGAAACTGCAAATAATTGAAATTTTTCTAAGTCCAAGGGGCATAACTCTGTCAAAAATGGTGCGATCGTACCCAAAACAGAACTTGACTTAGATATTAAAGTGATATATCTGTATACTAAATTTGATTTCAGTATGTGCAATGGTTGCAAAGAAAATGAGCGGAAACTACAAATAATTGAAATATTTCTAAGTCCAAGGGACATAACTCTGTCAAAAATGGTGCGATTGTACCCAAAACAGAACTTGACCTAGATATTCATGTGATATATCTGTATACCAAATTTCATTTCAGTATGTGCAACGGTTGCAAAGAAAATGAACGGAAACTAAGTGGACCGACAGACCGACCGACCGACAGACGGACCGACAGACAGCAGCAAAGCAATATGCCCTCCCTTCTTCGAAGGGGGGCATAAATATTACTTGAACTTTTTGTATAATCTAAGTATACATACATAATAATATATATAACCAGACTTCGATACTAGTTGGATATGGCAATAAAAAAGTGCATTTCGCCTTCCAGAAAATAATAATTATTTAATGACTCGCCTATAAGTCGGACATAGAGTTTTAGACCAAAATTTAACTCCCAAAATACCGACTTATAGGCGAGTATATACGGTACTTGACTTATGGGGATGTCCACACTTTTGTATCTCTGTCTAGGATCTGTTCTGACAGGTTTACCTGATGATTGTCCAGTTTGGGTTTTTTGGCACCAGAACCCGATTCCTCATCTTCCTCAATATCTGTAGTGTCGTTATCGTCAGTCTGAACCAATCAGAAAGATCATCACAATAATTAATTAACAAGTTCACAAAAAAATAAAAGTCAAGCAATTTACCATCATAAAAGATTTGATTTTCATCTTCTGCACAGCAATTAATCTTCCAAACCTACATTCAAGTAAATTCATATTCGTAAAAAAAATCTAGTACATGAAATTTATGACCGTAGCTTTAAGGAAAAAAATAATACAGTTACTGTACTAAGAAAGCCCCTTACAATTTCCCTGATCTCTGACTCGTCCCTGAAGGAGACCCTGTTAGCGGTGAGTGTTCTTTTCCTCCCCGGCTCCTCTTCTTTGTTTTCCTCTTCCTCCTCCTCTTCCTCCTCATCGTAAGGAATGTTGTCCTCGATGGAGGTGTGTGATTGGTTGGATTTGACCGAACTCTGCTGCTGTCGCCCAGGAATATGTGATGGAGGAGGAACCTGCTGGTCTTCTTCATAATCTTCTTCATCCACATCTGATGTTACATAGAATATGTCAATTAATTTGTATACCGTAAAATCACATATTTTCGTTGGGTCAAATTTTCGTGGTTTGAAGAAAATCTCTTGGTTTATGGAGATTTGATTTCGTGGATCAAGAATTAATGATTACTTATGTATGTAACATTTTACATTTTGTGATGGATATGAATTTGTTGGTCTCGTCATACCTCGAAAACAACATAAATAACACCCCCCCCCCCCCCCCCCCGAAAATTTGTGATTTTTGATTTTTCAGTACATGCCATTTGGAGGGGAAAAAATTGTCCCTGTTTTTTTTTCCTCCTGCCATTTTCACAAGTGAGCAAATTTATAAATGTTTTGAATTCAAAGAACACAGTATTAATTTCTTATTAAAACAGAACTATGAATGGGCACATTCAAAAGCAGAAAAATTGTTTGCAAGAGTGAAAGGGAAAAAAAATCCAGTAAAAAGTATTTTTGGAGTGCATCATGTATTAGGTGTAAAAATGAAATAAAATCACTAGCTTTTATTTTTCATGGTGCTGAACGTTCAATGTAAAATCTCGATCTTGATGAATCGTTCACTTGTGAATTATTGTTCTCACGATTTGACGTTAAATAGGCATTTTGCAATAATAAGTACTGGCAAAAAATAAGGAATCTACAGCATGTGGCTTTATTTAGTAACTTACCTTCATCCTCTCCCTCACTGTCTGGGAATTTTGTAAGTTTGGCAGCCAGGCTAATTTTAGGTACGTCTTCCTACAAATGCAAGAGAGGTGAGTATTATATGACGATATGATGGACACAGTGGTATATTAAATCTCATTTCTTGTGGTTATATGCTTGTTACTTTTATTCATCATTACTTTTAATTACTAAACTACTTACATAACTGCATATTTCATATATCACCACAATATGAAATATAATCATTGCATACTGGAATGTTTATTTTCACCCACTTCACTCTTATCCTATATGAGCAATTTTAAAACTGAGCTAGCTTATAAAATAGAACACTGTGTTTCATCAATAAGTATTTGCAAAGGGGTTAATTCAACACAAAGCAAAAATTCAAAGTATTCAGTACTCATTTGAGAGTTTAATTCACATTAAAACACAGAATTATTCATTACAGTCCTTTGATTCAATACACCACTGACAATAAAGAAACTGCAGTCTTTAGGTAAAATAGTCAATATTTTAAAATTAAATGTATTGCAAATGCACAACTCATAGTGGTTAGAAAGTGTGAACCAAACATTTAAGATCCGAGTGTTGGAAAAAAAAAGAAAACATTTTTTCACTAGATAAATTAAGTGTAGAAAACCACTTCCAAGTCTGTGTAATAGTACTTCAGATACCAATTCAGTGAAAAACAAGTGCTTAAAAGTGCTGGTGCTTTGTCCTCATTTAAAAAATGTTTAATTTCTACCAAATTATCAAATCTTAGCTTTGCAGTTTTCAAAATAAAATTTTGAAAAATCTAGAAAACAAACACACGATGTAAATTACTATAATCTAAACAATATCTAACAGTGAGACCTCAGGAAAAAAGGAAATATATAAAACAAAGGAATAGGGTCACAAGAAAATCGGCATGTCTACTGACGACACGGGGGTCTTACATCTGCCTCGCCCAAATCCTCCGCCCCCAGGTCTGAGTCATCGTCTCTACCCTAGTGACAAGAATACCGCATAAACTAAATCTATAAAATGGTCACTGTACACTTATATAGAGTAGATTACATTTGATGCAAATCAAATAAAATCCTGTAGCATTCAAACAATGTAATAGCATATATATGATAAACATGTACATGAGTATAATTCTATACTGTAAAGATTAATACAATTTTAACATGCAACCACTCAAATCAACAAGCACTTAATATTTGTTTTGTTCTTGTCATTGATTGTTCATATTTTACAAATTCTCATATCTTCACAGTTTATCTTTTGCAACACAAGTTTTCTGATGCCCTATTCCACAATGAAATATATAAACTCTTATATTATTTTGATCCCTTCAACTGCAAGTCTTTATCAGGCCAAATAAAAATCAATTACCATGATTACAATGTGTAGATGTGAAAAGAAGTGTACATTCTTTGCATTGTTAAGTGATTGTAAAAATTCACACATTTAGCATTTAGATCGTGTAATCTGCATGTATTGAAAAATCAAAGCTTCACGCAGCAAGAAAACACAGTCCTAACTTACAGGAATATTTTGCATAACTTTCTACAAAGTGAACATTTACGCATTACAAGTGTGTATTTTAAAAACTTATAAATATCACACACTTAAGTTACATAGTATCAACTTTTTACTGATTACAAAGTTTTGTAGTATCTAAGGTGAAAGTTAATTCATTTCATGCAATCAAGCTCAAGAAACATAAAGTCTTTTGTTTCCATGTAAATGTATATATATATGTGCCTTCATGCAAATTCAGAACTGAAAAAAATCAAATCATGCACATCTAGCAATATGTAGTTTGAGAATTTTTGAAATCATTTGTGCAGTAAGCAGATAAATCTATGATATAATACATATATACATGTATTTAAATAGTCCTAAAAACTTAATGGACCTCCGTATACTCTAATTACATTTCTAGAAACCCCTAGTTCCCTATAACTGGTACCTTTTTCTTGTCCAGTCCGAGACTGACGCTGTCGTCCGCCCATGAGTCGTCCTGTTGACTGTGTGAAACTCGGCTCTGTGTGTTCTCCTCATCAGACTCTTCAACTAGTTAAATAATATTTACAAAAATCTAATTATTTTTACCAACTTTAAAAAATTTCTACTTTATACAGTATTCCAGTTAATAGATTCAAAATTTTCAAACATAAAATACAAAACTCAGTTTTATGATCTGTATTCCATTCATTTCTTTAATTTAATTATGCATTTTAAAAGATGAAATAGAATCATTTCAAGCTTAGTGCAGATCAAAGGACATTTGTTTCAATTTTCCTTTCCCTTAGAAAGCAAAGCAATGCTAAACATAACTGTCATGACCGTTTTATCTTAACACATCGTTCACTAGGAGACCAAACCTTTGTCATTGTTGTCTGCTGGTAAGAAGTGGGACAATGAGGGATCCCTAGGGGTGGTGGAGGCACTGGAGGGTCCCATCGAGCCCCGTGGGGTCTCCCGAGGGGTGACACTCCCTGCCAGACTCCCCCCTGTGGACCTCCGTAACTTCATGGCGTGGTCACTAAGTAGCTGTGCAGCAGCATACTGTCCTGTCATGTTAGCCATATCTTCAGCTGTAAAGCCTACAAAACAAGCCAATCAGCTAACAGCTTTGTGAATCTAAACATCACAGACAAACAAAAATGTAAAAATTCATGCAAAGTGCTGAACACTTTACGTCCATGTTATTATCCATGTTAACCTACTGTGATGAAAAATAGGGAGTCTTTAGTATACTGTTTTTGACTTATTGTCTGATTTGACTGATGGTTGGTCAGCTGAGATATTTAAACATAATCATAAACTTTCAAAAGTAGGTCACAGTCACCTGTCCCCCCACTCCGGGGGGCCTGAGGAGTAGGGCTAAAAAGAAACAGTTTAATGGATATGAATATAGTAAACACACACAAAAAAGGTGAAAACAACACCTCAAATTAAACCGACCTTTCTTGTCTTTGATGACAGTGTTGGCATTAAACTGCAGCAGCATTCTGACAGGAGTAATGGAGCCCTCATAGCACGCCAGCATTAATGGAGTTCTGAAAAATAAAAGATCTTGTTGCTAAAAAATTCCAATTACTCATGTATACATTTTCCACCTGCTTTCTAACTTGTATTTTATTTTTTGGTTAATTTTACAATTAATTTCTGTGACTGAGAAAACATTCTCTACATCCTACACACCTGGATCTGCTTGTCTTACCTGCCTAGGTTATCCTGTACATCTGGATTAGCCTTGGCAATCAGTAAAGCCCGGGTTATTTCATCCCTTTTAAACTGTATAGACATGTGTAGAGGAGCCAGGCCTTCCTCAGTCTACAAAATAAGGCATAATTATAATAATAATACTCATTATAGCAGCATGTTAAGAGCAAAAATTGGTGCATATTGAAAAGTGATATTTTTAAACAATAGTCTATGCTTATATGTAGCAAAATCATCTGTTCCTAACACAAGTTATGAGAGTGATTTACTGTATACTTGCAGGAAGATTCATCTATATTTTGCATAATCTTATACCATGTATACATGTACCAACTTTTTCACAAGTACTTCAAAAATGATTTGACATAATATATAATAATTTCTTTATCTTGGTACAGTGTACATGAAAGACTCTTTGACCTATGTTTCCTGAATTTTTAATGCTTTTAATTACAAAAGTCCCATACAGAACTGTTAAATTTTTTTTTAAAAGTCAAAGAGTGACAGTCATTATCGTACAAACAGATACACACTGCTACTTATTATTATAAGTAAAAACCTACATCTGATTTCCATTAAAACCTACCTTGTTTCTGATGTTGACATTGGCGCCTTTATCTGTGAGAATTTTGACGATTTTGGGATGGTTGTAGAGAACAGCCAGATGTAGGCCAGAGTTACCTTCCCTATCCACCGTGTCCACCTGGGCATTGTGTTCTATTAATAGCTTCACACAGTCGTCATGGCCACATTCCACAGCCTGCCAAAAGCAGAAATCAAAATATCATTTTTTAATCACTCACAATATGCTCTCTGTATCTATATATTTGGTATCTTACAGTGCCAACTTAGAGACCCAACCAGACAGAAAGCAGTCCCAAGGTAATACTAGGGACGACTTTTTTGACCTGCTTGGATGTAAGGTAGGGTATGGTTGGTAGTGTTACGAATACCTGGTATATGACATAAATCTTATGTATTCAAGGCTTTATAATTTTTTAGGGGGGGTTTATATTCTATATGCTTCCACTGAATCCACAGGGGATTTATATCACTTATCAATTATATATGTCAGAGTTGAACAACTTCCACATCATGCCTTTTAGAACAATGCAGAAGAATCAATACTTGTCTTATTAAAATGCTAATTAAAAAGAGCATCTATTATGCTACTCGTTTTCTCAAATGTCATTAAAGTAAAATTGCACATGCCTAAGGTTGCCATGAAATTAAACAAAATAGGCTGCATCACAAGATTAACTGCAACATCAAAATGATCAATATACTGATGGCAGAAAGTTGAACAAGAGGAAACAGGTGTTTTAATGTTTGCTTATAATCTCCTAAAAATCACATGTAAATGTCCAAATTTCTGTCATGCAATTAAAATCTCAAATAACTAATTCAAAATATGAGAATATTCTTTTTTTATTAATAATTTCAATACGTTGTATTTCCATTAGTGAACTCTTCAGAATTAGAGGCGCGTTTGGTCGTCTGACTGGGACAGCATGGCGTTGCGGATAATACAAAACATGCCAGTCTCAATCCAATTTTAAATGTTTAGTGCATTTGTCATTCTAACCAAATAACAGAAGAACTAAAAGACATATGAAAGAGAGCGAAAACCCTAACTTTATCGTCCATTAATAAAAAATATGAAATTTCCAAGGTATGTGTATTGTCTTTAATGTACCATTACAATAAATAGATACACACGATCACCAATAGAAGTAAATTAATTTTCTTGTCATCTCCACTCTTGATTTAAATAAAGTCCACAACAATAAAATATTTCATATGCATTTTGTTAGTATTTGTTCATCGACATTCAACATGTTGTTTACATGTTTACGTTACGTTTGTCCCAGAAATCCCTCGAGATTGTACATTCTCCGACTTTTTAACAAAAGAGCGCACTAAGAACTATAACTCTTCAATAGTGGAAATAGAACATATTGGTATTACAAATCATTACATATGCTTAATATTTATTAATATGTGTATAATACCCGTAACTTAATGTCAACTTGTGATTTGATTGTATGCAATAATATCGATATGAAATTTATCATGTGACACTGTCAAAGAAAAGTATATTCACACACTATCCAAACAAATCTATCAATCCAAAAGGTATTAATAATTATGAAGTATACTTATTAATATCATAGGTGAATTTAGCAGAGGTTCCGATACAAACTTATCTCATTATCACAGTAGTGGCATTTTAAAGGTGATTTATTAGATCTCAAAGGTGAAATTGAACAGCATTTAAATGACATTGAATTGAGTGGCGTCTTATGTTAAATCAATCACAGTACATTCTATAACGAGAACCCCCAGAATAAACACTGGGACGAGGAATTTAAACACTCCTCTTGTACATAGTCTCATTCCATTCATGAATAACAGTTATGACATTTCTCTCTCAAAATAGCTAATGAAATTGAACTTTCTGAAGAGAATGTCTATAATAACATGATAATCAACTTATTACACTCCTATATTTAATATGAATCCATTATCATGATTACTTATTTTGTTCAATGTGTTAATTCAAAAGTGGTGTAAGCTTTAACAATCTTATCATGCTCATAGTGCCATTCCTTTATCATTTATTGGCAATATCAATCTTCATTTCTAGTAACTGGTCCTTGGTAAACATGTTCATTTCATGTTCATCAAGATCAAAATACTTTTTCTAATATACATGAATATCTATGATAACAGGACAGAAGATGAACCCAGCAATTGTCTTTTATCCTTGCCAACATTAACAAAATATTCTGTTTTCAGAACACTGACACTTTAATGTCTTTGAAATTAATTCACATTATCCAACAGTATACATCATGACAGAAATTAAATATTAATATACTAATATATAATGTCTCCAGTGAGAAAGCATGTAGAAGACTTGAGATTGTAGGTGCATGATATACTGATGAAAACATTGAAAGAAAACTTTAAGTTAACAAATAATGAAAATATGACTTTGGACTATGTAAGTATCAAAACTTTTCTAAGTACATACATGTACTAATTACTATTACAGATAATATGATTAGTGAACTTAATATACTGTAACCCTTTTCTCTTTAACATATTTAATAAAAAATGTTGTCATCCGGGCATGCTGTCAGTCCAGTTAAAAATGCTGTGAAGTTAGACCACAGTTTAATCGTTTCAATTTCATTTTCGAGTTTGACATTGATGAATAAATATATCTAAGATTTTGTATGCAGAGCTTTATATCTAATCTTAAATCAATTATTAAGTGTCCTGAACTTAAAAACAGATGCGCAGTGACCCTTAGTTTATGTTTTCTCCATTATATTTACTTGGTTATGGCTACAGTTAACAGGTTAAGATCTCTAAAACAATTAATTGGTATTTCTTGGGACTTCTCCATGTCTAATGCTAACTCTGTAGAGAAAATGCTTCAGGGCCAAATCGGTCAAAAGTAATAAATTCAATCTACTCCCTTATCAGGCTTATTATATGTGACCATGCAATCTTGTCATTTTCATCCTTTTACAATTTCCGACAGTGGTAAATTAAATATTGATTTGTGTCTTTCATTGATTTTCCTTATTTGACATTTCTAAAGGAAGCTCTTCTTTTCCATACACCTCCAACATGTGCCTCAACAGTCATTTATTATTAATGACAAAATATGACCTACCAGATGTGGCTTTATTTATTCCACCTGACAAACTTTTTATGCATCTTAATCTCTCATTCAATACCCGGGGATAAACATGATCAATTCCAGTGCAACATTTGATATAATGCCATCAGACTCTTTTTTTATTGTTTCGGATATGCATTGACATTTCATTGATTGTTCTTAAATTTCTTTTCTTTTATTAATTTTTTTTTTTGAGAAAATCTTGCAAAAGGTGAGAAACCCCAGCTTACCTTAAGGAGGGGAGTTTTAGATTCACTGTCCCCAATGTTGCTCTTGGCATGCCACTCTAGAAGAACTTTCACTATATCAGCATGGCCTCTTGCACAAGCAAGATGCAAAGCAGTCCTGTTATAATATACAAAATATTTTAATGAGAAGCTTTAAATCAGAAATTAGTTTCCAAAAACACGTTTGATTACTATATTAATTTGTATATTTTTATAGCAAGCACATTCATATACATGTATTATTAATTCCTGATTTCTTAATATAGTTAAATCTCTTAAATACTTTAACAGTCCAGTCCAATACGAAAAATCGTAATGTTACTAAAAATTGTAATATTACCAGACATCGTAATATTACAGAATATCGTAATATTATTCTTATATTACTATTTTTCGTAATATAGTTAAATTACGAAAACTCGTAATATAGCAAGTTGTGAGAGACTATATTAGGAGTTTTCATAATGTAAGACAAAATTAAGCATTGAAAGAAACTGAATGATGTTAAGGAAAGTATGACGTCAGAAATACATTATGCCCCAGTGGTACTAGTATCACGTGGTCATTTCGGTCAGTGACGTCTATCGAAAAGTATGAAAATGCAAGAAGAAAGTAACAATAGTAATGGGTGAGTGAAAATTTTGTTTTATTATTCTTATATAAGAATTTTCCCAGGGATGGGAACAATTTTCCATAAAACTTCAATGTATCCTCAAACTTGTCACAGTGTTCTATAATCCCCGAATTCCCTATATTTTTCCCGAAGTCTACCCTAAAAATCAGACCCTCATCTCCAACAACGAGATGTTACGGGGTATAACTTGTACAACTTTTACTAGGCTCTGACTCTGCATGCACTTGGATCAAATGCATCAAAACAAAGAAAATGCATGCATATCCACGATGATTTGATGAAACCAGAGACATATAATCTCTGATGAAACAAAACAAGGAGGTTGTATCAGAAAAAAAGGGAAGTAACTCTTACAAGAGTTAGAAATTGCTTATATTACGAATTTTAGTAATATTACGATTTTTCGTATTGGACTGGACTGTTTAATTAACATGATTAACAATCAGGAAATTTAAATATTTTTACTGTCGTAACTGTGCATGGTTGTTGCAAACTGAAGCAATTGTATATTTTAAATAATCACAGATAATACTGCATTGTCATTCATGCACTTAGAAATGCAGGTTTTATATTTTGGTGGCTATAACATTAAATGGCACAGACAACTATGTTTTAATTCATGAATACCACCAAGAAATCATTTATAAAAACAATATACATGACATATGGCGCTTTAGTATGTAGCACTTAATCAGGTATGTGCCAATATCCAAAAATTTCGCTAAATTTTAAATATGCAAATATATGTACATGCGCAGTATGAGCAAAATGTCTAATATTTCTTTAATGTAATTTTTTGTGCAATCCATTGAGTAACAGTTACAATATACATAAAGTACGAGTATGTAATTGTGTCGCCTAATTTTGAATGTCTTTACAATTTAAGGCTAGGTATTTAAACTCATTGAAATGACATTCTTAATACTTTTAACTGCCCCGAAAGATTTCAGTATTGACTAAATTTCTTCTAATATGCAGATCCCGTAAATTTAAATACATTGATCATTATGTTCTGTTGGTGATCAACAAACATATATATGTCTTTGAAATGTTTACAAGGTACTAGAGAAAAACAATCCAAATTCCTCAAGCATACCGTTATCTTAAAAGATGACAGCGGAATGCAATGAAATACAAGTCATATCTTGTTGTACTGAGCAAATGTACACCTGTATTTTAAATTACCTACGTCCACTATTGGGGATAAGCATGTCGCTTGTTTTTTCTTAAACAAAATGAAATGACCGTAAATACCTGTTTTCCTTGTCAAGAGAGCTTGTATCCTTTTTCACAAGTTGCACTACTTTGGATAAATCCCCAGTCCATGCTGCTTTGTGAAGTTTCGGGAGATCTTTTTCTCGAACAACATAACCAGTCTCTGTCCCTCCCGTAGCCTCTTCAGAGCCAGCTGCCTGTGGGTCGTAACTACCCTGTCTCTGTGTCTTCTTCTTTATTGTTTTAATAAATTTCTTCATTTTCGACCGTAGATACTACTTTTCAAATTCACAAGAAGCTGTTGCTGGTTTGAACATCGGCCATGACTGTAAACAAATGACATCGGAAGTCTGTTCAGAAAAGTCAGAAAAGTTCCGAATGTCGATTACATATTTTGGCGCGCTTTCTGAAATTGATAAGAAAAAGATGATAAAAGATTTTCCAATAAATTATTAAAATTGTAAATAAATTAATTATTTTCTCAAAGGCGTTGGAAGCAAATAAAAGTAGGTGTGTGTGTGTGTGTGTGTATGGGGGGTGGTGGGTGGGTGGGGGGGGGGGGGGGGGGGGGGAGGAGCTACTTAAAAGGGATGCTACACCCCCCCCCCCCCCACCCCCACCCCCACCCCCCCCAAAAAAAACAAACAGTAATAATGATCAAATTATCATAAATAGCTGATATATTAAGTTATCACTGTTCAAAGTGGAAAAAAACTATAATATTATGCAGTTCAGTATAGGATGTACATTTCTGATTCTAAAGGAAAATATACTATATTAATATATTTCTAATTATAATGACATAGCTGTGCACAGCATATCTTGTTATTATATACATGTAAATTGAGCACCAGAGAGAGAGAGAGAGAGAGAGAGAGAGAGAGAGAGAGAGAGAGAGAGAGAGAGAGAGAGAGAGAGAGAGAGAGAGAGAGAGAGTGTCTTTTAGATTTGCAATTAATATATCATTTTTTGAGGATACCCTTAATCAAGGTTTCAAAATAAAACTGCATGGACTGAACTGTGCATGAACGTACCATGTTTTCTGGAAGTGGGGTCACGGGTATGATGGGAAGGGTTAATTACTCGATCGATCAATGTCAGACTCAGTTAAAAAGGATCCACTGTCTATGATTTTTAGTTATTTGTTTTTCTTTTTACAAAACTAAGTGTTACGTGGAAATTTTCCTTAAAACAAAATAATCAATCTAAATTTAATTCAACAATTGAAAAACAAGTACTAGATAGTAAAATTTATTTTAAATGGAAAGGTTTTGAAACAGATTGAAAAACTCAGAAAACTAATCTATCGTATTCTCGCATCATTTCTCCAGTACATCTTCATAGGAAATGAGATTTTATAAATAAATTCATAAAGATTCCCGTCTGCGTTCGTGTTCATATCAGTCAAGATCGAGGTTCCTTAGAAACATTCTTATATGCATATTATTTATAAGCGAAATAACGCTATATATAACGTATGTTATATCGCGAAAGTTACACGTAATCACGCAAAAGTTGCGCGTTTATTTGCGAAAGTTACGCGTAATGATGCAAAAAATACGCGTTTATTCGCGAAAGTTTCACGTTATAACTTGAATTTTTTTTTTAAGGTAGTCCGATCCTCAGGTTTATAAAATTAGCAGTTAAGTAATCAAAATACTCATAAAAGTGTTTCTGAATCCACAAAGTTATGTAAATTTATCCAAAGTATTTCTTTAAAGTTAAGGTTATCCGATCCTCAGGTTCTGAAAATCAGGCATTGAGTAATTGAAAATGCTCACAAAGATGTCTCTAAATTCTGAAATTAAAATGTATTTACCCACGGTGTTTCTTTAAAATTCATCTTTAAATTTAATCATATTGTATAGGGAAAATTAGTAAATCTCGAATAATTTTTCAGGAAATGCGATTTGAACTACCTACTGCATATTTTTTAATTGATAATTGATCAAGAAATACATTTTAGGAATAAAAATCATAGGTATCCAGGCTTTTAAGGAATTTTGAATGAATTTTACAATTATTTGGACTTTACTTTCTCCTACTTACTTCAATTGTTTCATAATGCATAGTGTATGAAGTGTTTCTTTTCAAAGAAAACACTGTAAATCACTTCTAATTTCAAATCATGCACATAAACATTGGTAAATAAGGCTAGATTAAAAGAAATTTGATTTTTTTTAAAATATGCAAGTTTTACTTTATTTTATGAGGTAGAAATGTCAACTTTTTAAATACCGTTTGTCAAAACTTTAAAGAACATTGAATCATACGTGGAGGCATAAAATGAAAATTGTTGCATGAAAAAATTTCACTTTCAAGCTTTATTTTAAGACTTTTTGAATTAAATTATAAATTAAAGAGTTATCCTTCCTGGCTGAGGATCGTATATTCTTAAATATTAAAGTTAATCAAAGCATATAGGGGAAATTGTTAAATCTCCAATATTTTTGCAGAAAAAGCGAATTGGAATATCAGCAATGCATTTTCTAATTGCAAATTGATCAAGAAATAAATATTAGTTTAAAAACCGATAGGTATCCAGGCATTCAGAAAAATTGTCGTGATTTTTATACTTATTTGGTATATTTTGTTTTCGGCTTTTGCTATCATTGCAAGACACCACAAATCACTTCTTATTTCATATAATGCTGATAAGCATTGATATCTAAGGCTGGATTCAGGAAAATCTTATTTCTTAAAAATATATTAATTTTTTGTCCTTTGTATAGGGTACAAATAACTTTTATAAGACCTTTTCTAAGACTTCCAAATACCTTGAATATTATAAAGATGAATAAAATGAAAATTGTTGCATACAAGTTTCATTTTCAAGCTTCATCTTGGTGCATTTCAAATTAAATATTAATTTTTGGAGTTATCCTTCCTGGCTGAGGATCGGATATCCTTAAATCTACGAAAATGAGTGAAAGGCAATGAAAATGAGCATTTTATGTCGGGATCGGCCTTCGCTTTTCTCAAGCATTTCCCAATGGACAATGGCTGAGTGTGGAGACGACATTGTCTTTCAGTCGTCTTTAGATATCAACAAAAAGCCACACCAAGTTCAGCTCACACGGAGGCATCTTACATGGGACTTGGCCTCTCCAGGAAAACCGTCCCGGAAACCAGACAGTCCGTCATCGCAGCCATTTATCGGTAAGTTTATTTGGGTCAATAGATATGGTAATTTGCAAATCAAAATGTCAACAAACACTAAAACAGTAAACGAAGGAGAGAAAGACTACAAAAAGGCTGCCGCTTTAGCGTAGAAGAGACAAAGACAATAAAATGACTATGATGAATATGAAAAAAAAATGAAATTCCTCTATATTTTATGTAAAAACTAATTTAACTAAAATATACATTGGAGATGCATCAAATTTATTTAAGAAACTAAACCAATGGGCAATGGACCATATCTTTCAATCAAAAATACATTTGTATTTATGTTTGGAGTATTTCTTTTATTTTAATCACAATTAATCACAATCATGACATAAATATAAATTAAGTAATGATTTACAACTGTCTTCCTATCATATTTTTTTCTGAAAATTTTATTCGTAATGGGCTTAATGTGTCAAAAAAGGGTATTTTTTTTAAAATTCAAAAATATATGAGTGGTAGGTAAAAAAAAAAAAGATGGGAATTATGGTTAAATATAGTTGTTAAACTGAGTATTTAATCTAATTGCTGTACAGTGACTACTACAGTCATACCTCTTTATCTGTATTGCAGTTCGGGTCATGGATATCAGGGTAGCTCAGTGGAAGAGCACCTAACCAGTAATGCAAGGGGTCCCAGGTTCAATTCCCAGTCAAGCCATATATTTTCTTTTAATATTGACATATGTCACTTGGTCATTAAGGTCTTCCGTTTCCAATGGAAGACCTTCTACTGATTCTGTTGGTAAAGATTATTAAGGTCTTCCGTCTTCAGCGGAAGACCTTCTTGTTATTCTTAGGTTTCTTTTTCACTTTTATTATTAGGGTCTTCCGTCTTCAGCGGAAGACCCTTCTATTATTCTTATGTTTCTTTTTCACTTTTCTTATTATTATTATTCTTTTTTTCTGCACAGATTTTGTGCAGAAGATTTCTCAGAGATGGTTGGATGGATTTGCTTCAAATTTTCAGGAATGTTGCAGGATAATCTGAAGTTTATACCCGCTGAAGGATTTTGTGAAAATCACTTCCGGTCTAGAGTTATCGCCCTTTTATCAAAATTCAGAGGACCTCCTTGTCCGTTCATTTTCTCGAAAACAGTTTGAGCTAGAGCGTTGAAATTTTCAGTGACGATAGAGGACATGTCCCCATGTTACTGGGTGTTTGGATTGTTTCCGGAAGAACCTAGTATGGAAGCTCGGTAGGGGTCAAAATTTAGGACACGAATCTCGAGTGATTTTAGGAGACATTTTGCATCATATCTTTTAAAGTATAAATATTTTGTAATAACATATTGAACATCATATGTGCAGAACAACGAGATCTTTCAAATGATATCAAGAAAAAAACGCTGACTCGTCACATTAGGGGCAGAAAGGGGCCAAAAGTCTTTAATCGATAGCTCTTTATCAGTTAATATTTTGTAATATAATACTGAAGAAAAAATGTTTATTCCAACAATCGTCAGCTATATATTATAATTTTTATGACGTATGGTACATAATTAGGGGCCACAAGGGGCCAGAATGCCAAATCTTTGACGCTTTATATCTCGAGAGTGAGAAATATTTTGATAAGTAATATTGAACAAAATATGTTCAAAATCATGTTCTAAACAATATGCAACCTTTCATTTGTCGCTAAATGTCCCCATTAGGGAGTTGAAGGGTTGGCCCCTAAATATTTCTTTTGCGAATAACTCGAAAACGAAAGATAATCTCTGAATAGTTGTTGAACAAAAAGTGTTCAAAATCCTAAAAGCTTCAAGATGAAATCAAGAAAAAGGGGCTGGGCACTCAAATTAGGGGCCAAAAGGGGGGCTTAAAGTCTTTTTTCGATTACTCTTTTAGAGCCATATTTCGCTATACATTACTAAAACAAAAATGTTTATCTCAACCATTTACAACTGTATTTTATGATTTATATGTCGTATATTACATAATTAGGGGCTACAAGGGGCCAGAATGCTAAATCTTTGACGCTTTAGATCTCGAAAGTGAGAAATATTTTGATAAGTAATATTGAACAAAAGATGTTTAAAATCATGTTCTGAACAATATGCAACCTTTCATTTTTCGCTAAACCTCCCCATTAGGGAGTTAAAGGGTTGGCCCCTAAATATTTCTTTTGCGAATAACTCCAAAACAAAAAAGAATCTCTGAATAG